ACATGAGGGGTAGCAGTGACGTGTGGTTGAAGGCGGCGCACTTGCCTTATGGCGAACCCAGCAGACGGGGATGGGGTGGATGGTGTAGCCCACTGGAGGATCGTCCGCCACCTGCACGCACGCACGCAACCACACAGCGCACAGAGCACGCACTTTCACGTCAGTACAAAACCTCCAACTTCCTGGACGCCTTGCACTGAATGCGTGGCTCACGGCCCGCCAGGCACGGCGCCAGAGTGACGCAGGGCGGGACGGGCGCGCGGACCTTGTCGTCGTGGTTGGGGTCGTAGCTGATCTGGTCGACGAGCGCGTCGATGTCGTGGCGCACGAGGTTCGGCGACACGGGCCCCACGGCGTCGAAGGGCACGGCGCCGAGCTGCTCCATCATGTCGGAGATGCCCCACTCCTCCGCCTCGCCCGACACCATGAAGTGGAAGAACAGCCGGCACTGCGTCGACATCAGGATCGACTTGAGAATCACCTCCGTCTCGTCGCGCGTGAACGGCTCGCGGTCCCATTGCGCGCTCACCAGCACGATGTGGATGCGCTCGTTCACCGTGCAGTTGCTCACCGGCCGCGGGAGGGAGCACGGGCCCGACGGCCGAAACCCGATGATACGGACTACGCGCTCGGTGTCTGCGAATTCCTCACTGCCGATTAGCCACGCGACGGTGGGAATTAGAAATATTCGGACGAAATGGACGATCGCAAAGGTGACGAGGAGGACTCGAAACGCGCCCCCTGGCTGATTGAATGCTTGGTTGAAGGCCTTCATGACTAGAGATTGGTGCGAGCGAAGTGAAGTAGGTGATTCGCTCTCTAACTTTTATTTGATCTATAATTTTAGTTTAGATATATTTACATCCGTTTTCGTCCAGCCTGGTTGGGATACCTGGCTTTCACCCAGGTGACCTGGGTTCAAATCCCGGCAACGGAGCTTTTTGGCTTTCTTGGATTTGTCATTTTGGAAAGGATGATGGGAACAGTGTAGACGTGCTTGCAACGACAACGCTTCATCGAAAGCGGAATTCTTACAAAGGGAGTTCCCAGAGTGTTGTCAGCTGACCTCGGTATTGTCTAGGCGGGAACACCGATGCGTCCCTGTGCTCGACCCTTCGTCGGGGAGGCGGCCTGTCAGTGCGGAATGGAAGCGAAACAGATGGATGGGATGGGAAAGGCGAAGCAAGTCAAACACAGAAAAATCAAGGTTACTCAGATTCTAACGTCTCCCCTCAACTTCCACAGCATCCATTGTTTTCCTTAGCTATGTTGCGACCCTGGAACAAGCTTACTAGCGTCAAGATTCGCTAAGCCATATTTGGCCATGGTGTCGTCAGGCGGAAAGCACCTGGCCCAGGCCAGGCGGACCTCCTTGATGAGGTTACGAACAGGGGGACTGTCCTTATGCAGGAACGCAGTTGTAATATCCGTAGTCGCTCTCGCTAGTGCGTTCGTATTCTTCGGTTATCGCCTGTCTAGCCCGTTGACATCACCCGCTTCTTCCACGACGCGTAAGGATCGCTTCTTCACAGTTTTGCACTTGATGACGAACGCATTCCTCACCCAAACGACTCTACACCTGTGCAGGTCGTGACAACTCAGTAGCAACCACAGTAGACCAGGTATGCACGTATACCTCCCTCAATTATCCATCAGTTATATATAATCAGGACTTACATTTAAGTTTCAAAATATCCAGGTTTTATCGTCCGAGACAAAGAGTCTGGCAGCTTTGGAGCAGATAGAGTCGCTTTTCCCGAAGGAGGTATGCCTGCTAGTGGAGAAGTAAGCATCAACTTTCTCCGCGATCTTTTTGCTAACTATATATTCTCGGTTATCCCCTAGGTACTGGACGTCGTTAATACTAATGCGGCTGATTCGTCCCTCCCGGACTTGCGTTCGCTGTCGGTGGAAGAACCGACATCGATTGCTCTGGAGCGAATTCAGGAGAGGCGACGGAAAGCGCAGTCTGTGAGTATACTGCTCGCTCCGGTGTCAGGAATTTGCTGCATAACAGCACAGAGTCACTGACTCATCGCTTTTCAGGTTCCCTCGGAAGACCCGCTCGCCACGTTGGGAGCTTCCACTGCTGATCACGCCAGCCTGCTGGCCAAAGCTGCTGCAGAAGGTAAGTCGCACCGTCAGTTACCTACGCATTGTGTTGGGTTTTCTTGTCGCGTCCCGCTGATGGTCCGCGCGTGGATGCAGGGGAGGACCCAGAGTCGTTGAGGGCGATGGAAGCCCTTCTGAAGCCGGATCCCAATGATCCTGCTCGACGGATAAGACGAGTACGTCGCCGCTCCTCAAATTTGTGTTGTTACTGTACAGCGACGTCGTGCTTACATGTGAAAATCTATTTCAGGAAAATCGAATTCGTCGGCGAGACAAACGGCTTCACGAGTTGGTCGCGCAGGAGTCCATAGAAGACGACGCTGCTGAGGCGGAAGAGAAGAAGAAGAAGGGGTCTGGCACGGAGCCCGCCATCGCTCTGAACAAATACAGCATCTGGCGTAGGGAGGATGAGAAGATAGGCGGGGACCAGATGATTAGACTTATTCAGGATCAGCTGATTATGGCTCGAGCGTATATGGCCATCGCCCAGCAGCATGGGGATTCGAAGCTGTCCAAGGAGCTGAAGAACAGGATGAAGGATAGCACCAAGTCGCTAGGCGAAGCAACCACGGACGCTGAGCTGGCTTCCAAGTAGGTCGTCCGCGTCCACTAACCTGCCTAGTGTGAAACGCTTTTTGTATTCTTGATACTCCAAAAATCATTGAAGCGTTCTCTTGCATGCCTTGCAGTGCGGTGGAGAAGATGCGCGCCATGGGGCAGTTGCTGGCCAGAGCGAGAGATCAGCACTACGACTGCACCGGAATGGTGAAGAAGCTACGTGCCATGGTGCATTCTGCTGAAGAGCAGGTGAGTCCCAATCTGTTAGTGGCTGCATCCCCATCCTTGAACAAACCGCTGATCGGAATCTTCTTTTGGTAACATTTCAGAATCAAGCTCTGAGGCAGCAAAGCCTTTTCCTGAGTCAGCTCGCTGCAAAGACCATACCGAAGGGGATCTTCTGTCTCTCCATGCGACTTACAATTGAATACAGCAACCTTTCTCCAGAGGAGCGGGAGTTTCCAGGGAAGGAGAAGCTGGAAGACAATGACTACCATCACTATGCACTCTTCTCTGACAACGTGCTCGCAACAGCCGTGGTCGTCAATTCAACTGTTGTCAATGCAAATGTACGTCCACCTCAACTGTTGCTAATGCGAATGCATGTCTAAACTCGAACGGTTGCTTCTGCACACCCAGACAGTGATCAAGGCCCTCAAGAAACTGCTTCCGTGTTTTCTCCCTGTTCAGGATTCCTCTAGGCACGTGTTCCACATAGTGACTGACAAACTCAACATAGCAGCCATGAAGGTGAGTTCAATGGTTGGTTCTGTTGACGATCGAAAGTCTGGTGGGAGATGAATTGACATTTGAAATGTCTTTGCAGTCTTGGTTTCTCTTCAACCCTCCCAAGGAGGCAACGATTGAGGTTCAAAGCGTTGATGACTTCACGTGGCTCAACTCGTCCTACTGCCCTGTCCTGAGGCAGTTGGAATCTGCATCAATGAAGGTACAGTACAGGAGCTGCTGCAAGATATGTAGTTCTGCTTGGACCACGTGGATACCATTTGCCGAAACTCATGCATTCTTGTTTTGCAGGACTACTATTTCAAGACAGGGCAACAAACGGAAACGGCAGGAGGTGCAACAGCAAACCTAAAGTATCGCAATCCCAAGTACCTGTCAATGCTGAATCACCTCCGTTTCTACCTGCCGGAAGTTTTCCCCAAGCTGGACAAGGTTCTGTTTCTGGATGATGACATCGTGGTTCAAAAAGATCTCACACCACTGTGGGATGTAAGTGCCTGCTCTGCTGCTCCATACAACTTCTCGCTTTAATGCATTTTTTTGTCAATGACTGACATCTCTCCTTGCGTTTGGCAGGTCGACCTGCATGGAAATGTGAATGGTGCGGTGGAGACATGTGGGGCCAGTTTCCACAGATTTGACAAGTACCTCAACTTCTCCAATCCATTGATAGCCTCTAACTTCGATCCACAGGTACCGTTTGTCCGTTGAAGGTTGCAATAGCGGTTGTCCTGCGGTGAATCTATATGGGCACCAGCAACTCCCCTTGACCTGTCCTCCTGCAGGCTTGTGGCTGGGCATACGGGATGAATGTCTTCGACCTGAAGCAGTGGAAAGTTCAAGATATTACCGGTATCTACCACAGATGGCAAACACAGGTGGGCTTCAAGGGTTGAAAGGCCTCCGTTTCACTTCAATGCTGTTCAGGCCCTGAAATCCCAATGAGGGCTGTCAAGGTGGAACAACGAAGTCCAGCAGCTTTGATACTTGAATATTGTTTACTGCTTACTAACTGAATCGCTGAATCTGTGTTACAGAATGAAGATCGTACTCTATGGAAGCTTGGGACGCTACCACCTGGCCTAATCACGTTCTACAACAAGACTCAACCAATCGACAAGGGCTGGCATGCCCTTGGACTCGGCTACAATCCAAACCTTGACATGGATGAGCTCAACAAGTAAGCCATACCGTCCACCTCCATGTGTACCTTGTGCATGTGGCGCCTACTAACATCTTTCATTTCCTGTCATGCAGTGCTGCAGTGGTGCATTACAACGGCAACATGAAGCCATGGCTTGAGATTTCAATGACTAAATTCAAGCGGTATTGGACCAAATATGTCAAGATAGACCATCCGTTTATGCAGCAATGCAATGTGAGCCCTTGACAACATGTATCCTAGTGCATTTTACTCACAGCAATGATTATGTAACGTGTCTACTCTTGTAGGTGTTGTACACGCACCAAGTTACTGGGCATTACACTTTTGAAGGAAATTCCACAACCGGTTAATGATGGTTCAGGATTCAATAGAAAACCTCCAGTAATTGGAAAAGTAAGTGCGGTACACAGCCTCTCCTTTAAAAGTACTGGGTGAGTTCCTCACCACTGAGCTCCTCCAGTTTCTTCACCAGGCTCTTCGCACTCTCAGCCACATTGGCGTCTGAATCTTCCAGCAGCTCCGCCAAGAAGGGGATGGATTCGGGCAGCAGCACCACGTACTCTTCGCGAACCCGATCCACGATCTCGTTGACAACACGCAGAGACAGCTGACGCGACCGCACCCGCTCACTCCTAGTGCACATCAGAACCTGCCACAAAACAAAAAATGCAGGTGTTCAAGTACCGGTAAAAAGTCGACATAATCTTAAGTCAAAGGCAAGACTAGACTCAGCACTTCGTAGTCACAGCGCAGTACCTGGTGGTTGAGCTGCTTCCAGAGGATATCAGACCCCCCTGCAATGGTCATTTCACCGAGGCATGTCACGAGCTCATCATCCACGGCGCTGATGCTTGGGACAGACGCTGCAATGTAGGGCTCCAGCATCAGGTGTGCCTCTGAAAGCTGAGACGCCGCCGAGAGAGCTTCTGGAGCAGACGGAGTAGAAACAATGGAAGCCACCCCAGCTGGAGGCTCTCTGTCGATCTGAGATATGAGAGGCTCCAAGAGAGCCTGAACACATCAAAGGCATGACAGCTGTTAGATAAGAGGAGGACACACACATTCTTGACTTCCTAACCGTGTGTGTTGCAATCACTGCAGGACGGCTGCATACCTGGAAGCGTGTTGCATCCAAGAAGGCGGCGTTGGAGTCATAGAGGAAGCACTTGTGCAGCGCACACACCACCAGGTGCCTCAGCTGCCACTGTGCAATGCTGTCCTCTGCTGCTGCTGCCACGCTTGCTGACTTGCGCCTCTTCTTCTTAATCCCCCCCTTGGCAGCATCACTAGTGCCAACAAGGTGGCGAATGGCAATGTCGAAGAGGTACTGGAAGTATGGCACGAACACCGACCTGAGTGGAGGGGTTGCAAGGAGCACAAAGCCATTCTTGTGAGGCAGAACAAGACAGAACCAGTGAGAATCTGTGTACTCATGCTTATGCACAAGCGATCTTCATCATCAGAAGCAGCAGCAGCAAGAGCAGCAGCATGAGTACCTGAGCTTGTCAGAGAGCACGTTGACGAGACCGAAGAGAGTGAGGTGTCGCTCCACTCTGCCTGCTGGTGATATGGCATCACCATCAGCAGCATATTCACTGGCGGCCCATTCAAGCACGCGCACAAACATGGGCTTGAACACACTCTCACTCGTCTTCATCACCAGCCCCACCATTGCCGTCACTGATGCTCCTTCCACATCAGGAGCCGTGACCATCTGTGTGGCACCTGGCAGACGCTGATTGGAGGAGCTGTCAGTGGAGGGGGGAAAGGGAGGGGCACGGCGGACATCGAAGGTGCGGAGGAGGAGGAAGTCGAAGATGCGGGCGTGGAAGGTGGAGGCAGCAGCCCGGTCCATGTGGGAGGCGGTGCGAGCCAGCATGTGCAGCAGAGCAGCAGAGGGTGCAGGGCCTGCAGCTGTCGCCGTGGACCAGGAGGAGACCAGAGGGTCCAGAAGCAGCCGCATCTGGAGCAGGGGAAGGGCGGCAGGGGAAGGACGGGACACGATAAGGCAAAATCAGCCCGCGATCACCATGTTCTGATCTAGTGTGAAAAAGGGATGCTGGAAGTTGGACCAAGTCTGCAGATTGTGTGAAAACGAGGCAGTTGACAATTAACTGGTTGGTTGAAAAAGTGAAGGGCCTTACAGGAAGCTTCTGAATGAGCAGCTGTCGCACAGCATGGGCATGCTGCATCACCGAGGTCGAGGGGCAGCAGAGAAGCACGGGACTGAGGCAGGTGCAGGCGAGGATGCGAGGAGTGAAGGGAGAGAGGAGAGGACCCATGGCTGCCAGCATGGCTTCCAGAGCCTGCAGCACAGCAGCCAGCAGGTCATGTGCCACCCCCTCACTCACCACCTCTGCTCTCCCATGCCCCTCACCCTCCTCCATCTGCTCATCCCCATCCTCCGCACCCCCCTCATCTGCCCCAAATTCCTCCACCGCCCCATTTCCTGCCGCAGCAAGGGCCCGGTCAGCTGAGGCGAATAGAGGCGGCATGAGGACAGGCAGGTGGGGCAGCAGCAGATGGTGCAGTGAGGAGGCGAGGGACGAGAGGCAGCGCAATGCAGCAGCAGAGAGGAGCGGTGGGGACGAGTGAGAGGAGATGATACGAATGAGAGGGGCCAGTGCCGGGGAGAAATCTTCAGAAGCCAACGACGCGAAGCGCTTGATGATGGCATCGAGTGTCTGAGGAGAGAAAGATGGGGAACCAAGTGGGAGGGGAGGGAGGAGATTTAGGAGAAGGAATACGAAGGAGGGAAAGAATGATGGCACAGTGAAGTAACATGCACAGGATGAAGCAGGAGTGAAGTAAGGAGCTGCACAGAAGCAAGAACCAGTGGCCCTCCTGCTGCTGCTCTATTGTACTGACCTGCAGAGCAGCCATTTGTGTTGCCAGGGACCTGTCAGCCCCCTCGAGTGCGCCCATGTGCGCCAGCTGTCCTGCCACCGATGCATACTCCCTCGCTTCTTCTTGAGCTGCCTGCGCCAACCGCTGCTTGCTCCTACCCTTGCCCCGGCCATGCGGCATGAGGGTGTGGGGCGCGGAGGCCCGCACTCGGGCGGCAAGCAGCCGAAGAACCTGCGAAAAGAAGAGGGGAGCAGTAAGGCGGGTGTGGAAATGCCAAAGAAATCCATGGCCCATGTGGTGTATAACAGTATATGGAGTTTGGTTTGGCCCAACGTGTGCCGTGGAACATGGTGGTGGTCGAAGTGTGTGTGCGACACAATATGAGCAGTACCTTGCGTCGAATATGAGTGCTGGGGTTGGTCAGTAGCGTCTGCACTGCTTGCAGGAACACACCACTAGGAGTGACGTCATCCAGAGTCTGCAGCAGCTCATACGCTGCTGAAGCAACCGAATCCGCCCTGTCCTTGAGGGCAGGAGGATAGGATGCGGTGGTGAGGGGGGCGGACACAGCAGCACTGGCAGCAGTAGCGGCAGCAGTGGCACGGAGGCGAAGAACCACATGCTCTAGAAGAGACACAAAGAGCTGTCGGTGCTGGGTGTCAACCATTGCAGCATCACCCTCATTGTTGAGCCCTCCCTCCCCACCCTCTGCTGGATCTGCCCCTCCCTCCATCCCCAGCTCCTCCTCCATAGCTGCCACTGCAGCTGGCAACTCAGCACCCACAAAGCTCACCACAACCACATCGTCATCCGGACCCGTCCCACTCCACCAATCACATGCCTCATCTACTGCTGCACTCGCCTTCCGTCGCGCTATGATTGGAGGGCATGTGGCTTCCAAAAGCTTCACATACGCCTCCAGTCGGATGCTTCCTGGAACCTGCGAACAGAGCTCAAATGCCAGGCTGAGCCCCCACTCGCCTTGCTTCTCATCGCCTGTGCTGTCCCCCCGCCGCCTCCAGTATGCGTGCTGCTGCAGAGCTGCCTGCCTGCGCGCCCGCGCAGAGCGAGGGGTATCTTTGGGATTGTTGGCACGTGCTGTGAGAAGTGAGGGTGTGACGCCTGTGGTGGTTAGCAGCAGCAGCAGAAGCGGAGCTAGGCCCAACGATGGAGAGACACCTCTGTGGTAGCAAGAGGGAGGGAGAGGGTGGGGTGTTGGGAAGTACAAGAGGACGCATGACTTACAAGGAAAAGAGGAGCAGGAGAGATGTTCAAGAAACGTGACCCAGCAAGAAGTCGAATAGGGGAGAAAAAGGATTGAACAAGGCAAAGGAAGCGAGGAGATGAGTGGGGGTTGGAAAGAGATGAAGGCACCTGAGGAGAGCAGAGAGGAGGGCGATGCGGTGGTGATGAAGCATGGAGGGCAGGGATGACACGACCATCTGGATGCGCACAGAGAGGGGTGGTGTGGGTTGGGGGCGAAACGAGGGTTTTCACAAGAGGCCCAAGCTGGTGGAGGGATGACACAGAGTGAAGGGGCTTCGAATGGACGAGGCAACTGATTTCAGTGGAACTTGAAGCAGGGGCAGACCTCGACTGAAAGGTACCATAGGCTGGGGAGTGACATCTGTGCTCACGTAAAGCAGGAAGTGACATCTGCAATCACCTGAAGCAGGGGAGTGTCATCTGAACTCTTCTTAAGCGGGAAAGCGGGATCGGCATTCACCTGAAGCAGGGGAGTGACATCCTGGTTGTGGTGCAGCCATGCAGGAAGCACTGCCTCCACGAGCCGGTGGATGGCGTCGTGTGACTCCCGAATGTCCTGATGGGGATGGGAAACGCGAGATGGGCCCAAAGTGGAGACACAGACACATCCGCTCAGCCACCGGAGCACCCACACAGAGAAAGAGCGAAAACGAAGAGGAGTGCCACAAAAAGGGGAACAAAAGGCAGCAAGGCCAGAAGCAAAGAGGAAGGAATGCTGATGGGAACAAGGAGGAGCGAGCGAGTGAAGGTGCAGGGGAGGAACGCACGAGGGCGAGGGTGGTTGAGGTGGCAACAGAGAGCACTGCCACCACGTGCTCCACCACCTCCTCTGGCTGCCTCTCTGCAGCAGCTGCCAGCACCGCTATGGCTGCACTCGCAGTGGCAGGGTCCCTCCGCCCCTTCACCACCTCCACTGCCGCCCCCACCATGTGCACCACACACTCCTCCTCCCCATGCTCCATGCCCTCTTCATCCTCCCCCCCCTCACTTTCCATTGCCTCGTCCTGTCCCTCCTCCACGTGCGTGTGTGAGGAGAGGGCGTTGCGTGCCACCGTCAGCACCAGCTGCAGCACGAATTCAACGGCTCCCAACATCTGGGCGCTCATTGCAACCTCACTCCCTGCCACATCGCCCTCTCCATCCTCTGCCTGATGCCCTCCCTGCTCTCCCCCCTCTTCCTCTGCATCATTGGAGTTGGGTGCTGGTAGCATCGGCCAGCGGTGGGAGAGAACAGAGCTAATGGCCGTGGCCAGCGACGGGAATAGCTGGATGCTGGGGAATGGGCACAGCGCAAAGGGCATGGGGCAGGGGAGGAGGGAACGATAAACATAAAGTTTTATGATAGTTGGATCATGGTGGGATGGAAGGCATAATGTGAGACATTGCAGGGCTACTTGCAACTGTGGTGTGACGTCATCAACTCAGATCTTCTGTGCTGCCACGTCACAAACTCACGTCTGCTGTGCTGTGACGTCCTCCTTCCACAGCAGCATCTCCAGCAGACCAGTTGCGGCAGCCACACGTAGTTCCACTGGCAGCGAGTCAGAAAGCGGCACATAGGCACCCATGTGTGGCTTGTTGGAGCTGGTCGCCTGAGGGGCGCCATGAGACGCCGATGATGGAGAGAAGAGGGCCGTGATGAGGCGCGCAAGCGTGGTTGGGCTCAGCTGAAAAGGGGGACGGAGAGGAGAGGGAAGGAGGGTGGAATATCCGTATGATAGTGTGAGTTTTGAATAAGGGAGCAACAATAAAAGCAGTTGGAGAGAGGGAATGAACCGCATGGAGAAAAACGGCCACATCCACCTCATACTAAAGACCCAGTGGCAGGTGGATGTCCTGCATGGGCATATATGGTTGACATGAGCCCTCAGCAGCAGCACACCTTGAGGCGCCGGAGTGCCTCCTTGGCTGCCTGGCGCGCTGCAGGCGAGGCCTCAGATGCTGCCATGAGGAAGAGCAGACTCGCCACGAGCCCATCCTGAGGAGGACGAGGTGAAGCGGCAGAGGTTGGAGGGAGGGAGTGGGATGCAGCAAAGCAAGGAGACGAGTGGTTGATGATGTTGCTGCTGAGAGAATGGAAAAAGAAAAAACGGATGACGGAACAATGGCAAGCCCGGCTCACCTGGTAGGTGTCTGGCAGAGCCTCCAAGAAGTCATTTGTGACCACACCTGCTGCCGTGATGGATGGGGCCTCCACTGCCACGTCATCAGCTGACATGGCACCCTGTACCTGGAAGAAAAGAAAGTGGGAGCAGCAAAGTGAGCATGTCAGCAGCACATGTTTCCACCTGGCATGCCCTTCATCACCAGATCTAAAACCTCACCTGCACATTCACACCTTCCCCATCTCCATTGTCCCCTGCACAGCCACACACCTGCTATACTGTACCTGCATTGCCATGAGCAACAGCGGTGCAATGTCAAGCGCAGTAACCCCATGCCCTGCTGTGTGCTGCGCTTTCTCCTTCCCATCTTTCGGACTCTCCTCTCCTTCGCCTCCCTCCTCCCTCATCTCCTCGTCCTGAGCCCCTCCCTGCCCACCTCCTGATGCGGCAGCAGCTACAAGCTGCAAGGTGCAGTGGGAGAGAGGAAACGTTTCGTGCTAGGGAAGCTGAGAATCAACAAGCGCATGCCAGCAGCCTCATGCAGGCCCAAGCCCAAAACCCACAAGGTTCAACGCCGTGGCAGGGACATGCTTCTGCGAGGCGAGAATCATGTGCACGGCTGCAGTTGCGTGCATGATACATTGCGAACCCCATTGCGAATGCTAGACATAAGAACCCAGGTCAAGAGCATTCCATTCACAGGCGTACCTGCAAGCCCACAGCCAGCAGGTGCACCTCATCCAGTTCCAGCCTCCCCCCCAGCCGTGCTGCTGCGTCCACTGATGCTGTCTTGTGTGGCAGTGGCGGCCCAGAAGCACCTTGTGCCTGCTGCAGGTGGCAGTGCAGGCGGCGGGAGAGCAGCTTGTGCAGGCGAGGCGGCAGTAGGCCCAGCGGGAGGAGAGCAGTGGCTGCTGGAATTGATGCGAGCATGTGGACAGCCAGGGCCTGCAAGACGTCGAGTGGGGGGCTGAGCAACAGCAAGATCGGTTTTATGCCACGTGCAGGGAAAAGAGTCACCAAGTAAGGACGGGTGCGAGTGAAACGGACAAATACTACAACGCCAGACATGTTAACGTGTTTGTGATGGTTGCGGTGGTGTGTTCAAGGGGAAGGTGTGGTACCTGAGGCCATGGGGGAAGGCTGATGGCAGCATTGAAGAGAGCTGAGAGCAGGGCAGTACGATCAGAGGGAGTCAAGCTGCCATAGCAAACAGACAGGCGTGAGGAAGAAATAAGTTATTGAAGCTAGTCGAGCCCGGAAAAGCGCTGCCACACCAGTTAAGGAAAGCAGACGACACACAGCATAACCGGACATGAATGGCACGGGACAATATGCCATGAACAGAGACAAAGTCGTATACCTGGAGCCAGTGGACGCAGCACACGAGGGGTCCAGCAGACGAATGAGCAGAGCAGCAGCTTGGCAGGGTTTGGGAGGGATGGAGGTGGAGGATGCAGCAGGTGTGAAGGCGGGCAGCGAGAGGGCAATAGTGGAGGAGGAGAGGGCAAGTGGTAGGGAGGGGTCCGAGAGGAGAGCATCCTTGGCGGTTGAGAAAGTGGATGCAAGGAGCGAAAGAGAGGAGGGAGAGGGCACTGCGGACGAGGAACTGGGGAGAGTGGCAGTCGCCTGCGTGAGGGTCGCGAACGCGTGCACAGCGGCCTTGCGAACAGGCTGAAATTCACAACAGCAAAGAAGGAAGCGTTAATGTGGCGAAGATGGGTCTGTGATGCCATGGCTTGTGAATAGCCGCTCACAATCATGAGGAAAAGCGAGGAGCACAACAGCTAGACATTGAGTAAAAAGCAACAATTGGGGAGCTTGAGCTCCCGCGCCCCACGGCTTCAGTCGCACCTTGAGAGGGCTCTGCACCGCCACCATAAGGCGCAACAGCACTCCCACAAGCACATGTGGCAGCTCCTCATTGGCCTTGGCGTCCCCTGGCACTGCAGCAGCAGCTACAGCAGGGAGGAGGGAGAGCGCTGCTAGTTGGAGGGAGGGTGAGTGAGACGAGACCGAGGGCAGGAGGAAGGGGTCCAGAAACGTGAGGAGGGAGGCTCGAGTGGCGAATCGTGCAAGCAGCAGCTGCAGCAGAGAAGATATGCCTTGCTGCCCCGTGCTGCCCTCTTCCCCTCCTGCCGTCTCCCCTGCATGTAGACCCATGTCCCTCACAGCCTGCAACATGGCCTCTTGAAATTCCACTCGCCCGCCTCCCTCACCATCGCTCTTTCCCTCCTGCCTCCCCGCCCTTGCTTGCACTGCACCAGCAATGCGTGTTGCCGCCAGAGCAGCTGCCTTGGGACTTGCTGTGCCCATCAGCAGCTCAAACACGCGTCCTGCCACAACACCTCGCTGCTTACGTGGTCCTGACACACTATCACTTATCCGGGTGGCTCCTGGAAGCTTCCTCAAAAGGGATGAGAGGCATGAGATGGTAAGGTCGGCTGACAGGCTGTGGGAGTCGATGGAGGAGGCGGGGAGTGTGGAGAGCAGTGTGAAGATCTTGGCGTGCACGTCTGGAGCTGCTGAGAATGCGGCCTGCAGGCATGAGGGAAGGAGAAATTAGACGAGTGTTCTTCAATCCAGGCAAGAAAGCAGGAAAAGGCAATGAGGGGAAGTGAATGGTCAGACACTTTGAAGGCCCAAGGCAGCACCTGAGCGAGAGAGGAGAGCAGCGCATCCAGGTGGACAGAGGCAGCACCCTTCCGTCGCTTCTCCCCCACCCCTCCACTCCCATGCACTGCCTGCGCCACCACTGCCTTCCACGCATCCTGCACCAGACCCACTGCCTCCTCCGCAAAATCCATAACTCCTCCTTCCTTCGCCTCTTGGAGTTCCGTGCTCCCTGCCACGGCAACATTTTCACGTGACTGCAGTGCTGATTCCAGCGAGGTTGACGTGGCAGGGAGGCTGTGTGCTGCTCCAAGAAGTGCAAGCAGCAACAGCTGTCGCCCAGCAGGAGAGGTTGAAGCAAAAGCAGAGCGGCTGAAGCGAATGGCAGTGCGCCACATGTCTTTTGAGGCAGATCGTTGTGCGGAACAGAGGGAAGGTGGTGTGATGGCAACAGCAAGGGCGAAGGTTACGAGAGAGAGGGCATCGGAGGTGGAGAAAGAGGGCAAGGAGAGGGAAGCGAGTGAAGGGGAGGGGAGGTGGAGGAAGAGGGGGAAGTGGGGCGCGAGCTGCTGTGCCATGAGAAGAGCCTCGTGCAGCATTTGGGGGTTGGCGAGGGGACTGGAAGGACAGTAGGGCTGCACAAAGGGGTGGGGACAAGAGGGAGGAAGAGGGAATGATGGGCGAGAGGGTGTCAGCTTGGAAGGCGAATAGTAAGAAGCAGAGAACATGAGTTGCATGGCAGGGGGAGAGAGAGCGGGGTTGTGGTTGGGGAAGGGGATTGTCACCTGAGAGGGCATGAGAGCAGACAGCAGCACATGTGGCATCACCTCCTCCGCCACCCCCTGCACCAAACCTCCCGCTCTCCCCTCCTCCCCCTCCTCGCTTCCCTGCCCCTCGTCTTCCCCCGGATATGTTTTGAGCGCTGGCCCCATGACAGCCGTGCGCAGGAGGTGAAGGGCGGTGCTCTGACACTCTGTGGATGGGCGCATGGCGCACACAGGGGCACATGGGATGGGTGGGGCCATGTGGGGCACATGCGGGCAGATGGGGACAAGTGAGGCCATGTGTGTTATGCGGCAGTGGGTTGGACTTTGGAACGTAGAGTGAGTAATAGTAGTGCGGCTGGCAGTCATACATGGGCAAACAAGCTGATAGAGCAGCAGCCCTTTACCCTTGATGTGAGCAGGTAGAGGCTCGGAGGCAGGCGGCAGCGGGCGGAGGAGAATGGCTTTGAGAGGGGCGACGAGGAGAGAGGCAGAAAGGGCATGTGGGAGGAGCGGAGAGGTGACAGCAGCGTGCAGCACTTCCCAGCTGTCATCTGCCAGTCGCCGCTGCAGCGCAGATGACACAAATGACTGCACCTGCGAGGGGACAGACAGAGGAAGGGAGGAGGCCAGAGCACGGAAGCGGTGTAAGCGAATGATGGACAGTGAAAGCTCTGAACAGGGGAGAGAGATGCGCGTGGAAAGACATCAGATGGATACGAATGCCAAAACAACTCCCCAACCACCACATAATCAACCCCATCTGCTCACACCTTTCCTCACACGTTCACAGCCTTCCCTGGACCCAGCGGCACCCACCTCGCCTTGAGCCGCCTCGTCCGTGTCCACGTGCTTCCCTGCTGCCGCCATGAGCCCTGGCAGCTGCTCCACTGCTGCCTTCCGCACTTGCCACTGCCACGTGCAACCAGGAGGGACAGGTGCCACATGGGAGGAGAGAAGCACGGAGAGAAAGGTGAATCGTGATGAAAGACGAGGAGATGAGAGAAAGAGAGAAGGATTGAGTGCTGAGTGCCTCATGTGTCACTTGCACATGGTCAACTGCACTCACTTGTGCATGATCGATTGCCAAATGAACTGACAACAGCTGCTGCTGCTGCTGCTGCTGCTGCTGCTTCTGCTGCTGTTGCTGCTGCTGCACGCTTGTCCCCGTGGCAGCAGGAGGGGCATCGACTTGCTGCAGTGCACAGGGGCTGGCAGAGAGGGCGGTGCCCAGGAAGGACACGAGCGTGGCGCGCTCGGCAGGAGCGGATGCGAGCGACTGGTTGGGGAGGGGGTGGAGAGGATATGGAAGGCGCGGCAATGAAGGCGAGAATTAGGTAGAGTAGGGGGCAAGGGACAGAGATGCATTGAAGAGAAAAAAATGAGGCAAATGAGCGGGGAAGGAGAGGATGAAAGATGGAGGGGAATGAAGGAATGACCTGAGAGTTGAATTCGATAACTACAACGATTCAAGTGACTCAAAATCTGCACAGCAGCCTGAGGCCTGCCTACCTCAAAGACTGCAGCCGCCTACCTCTAAGACTGCAGCGATGGCAGCATCAGTCGGTGAGGTGAACTTGAGAGAGAGGGCCAGCAGTAGCGGCTGGATGCGAGGTTCTGCCAGGGGTTTAAGTTCGAGGAGTGCAGAGGGCAGAACGGGAAGGAATGGCAATTGGAAAATTTGGAAAGAATGAGTGTGTGTGGCGGGGGTGGGGGGAAGGGGGATTCGAGTGATGTGGGGAGACGGATGTTTGGTTGGTACAAGGGAATGCACGGAAGTCAGAGCAGAGGAATGCAGAATGGCAGAAGATGAACAGGAGCAGCTGGGTTGGAGGTGTGTGACTGACGCAGGGAGGAGAGCACCACGGGTGCCCCCTGTGGCAGGCCCTTGCCGACGGCGAAGCGCAGCAGGGAGAGGGCGAGGCGAGGCACGAGAGGGGAGAGTGCTGCACGCGGCAGCTGGCGCAGCATGGCCAGCAGCACATCCGCCGCTGCCTGCGATGTTGCACTGGGCCGTTCGGGGGGCACCAGGGAGGGAAGAGAAGGGAGATACGCACGTGAGGGACGAGATGGCAGCATAGATGCATCACTGGCATGGATACATCATTACATGCATACATCACTGGCATGCATACATCACTGGCATGCATACATCACTGGCATGCATACATCACTGGCATGCATACATCACTGGCATGCATACATCACTGGCATGCATACATCACTGGCATGCATACATCACTGGCATGCATACATCACTGGCATGCATACATCACTGGCATGCATACATCACTGGCATGCATACATCACTGGCATGCATACATCACTGGCACGCGTACATCTTGGGCAGCAGTGTGTCAGCCAGCAGGTTGAGAATCTTGGCCGTGTTGAACTTGTGTGCCGCAGCGCTCAGCACATCCACAAAGTGCCTGCAGCGTACCCATGGGCGTTGAGGAGGCACAGGGAGGGAGAGCGGCTTCTAAGGAAAGGAAGGATGAAGGGCACTTGGGCGAGCATAGTGGGCCACAGCATGGGCCAAGGGGGGCAGGCAGGGGTGGAGTTGGCACAGCACATGATATGGGGGGAGCACAGGAAGCGGCCACTACAAGAAAAGCGGGGGAACCAATCCGTCCGAACCCATGCAAACCCATCCCATTTGAACCAACCCGTCCTATCAGATTCACGCACTGCAATGATGACCCCATCCTAATCCCTCCTTCCCATGCCTGGCACTAATTTCATTTCATCCCATGCCATTCCACGCACGGCATGACACTCGTGCCATTGGATCGGACGTACTTGTCTGTGAGAATGTTGGTGACCGCCCTGGATGGGAGAGACAGGATTCGTTGCGTCTGTCAGAGACACACGGAAGAACAGAGGACGAGACAGCAGACGGAGCGATTTGCACGTTAGGCTACACGAATGTGGTTGTTGAATAAGTCGAGCAGACTGAGACAAGAGCCCCGATGGGATGAGAGGCACAGGAGAGGGGATGGGAGATGAGATGAGATGCGAGGGCACTGACCGCGGAGAGGTGGACGACGACGAGGAAGGCGTCCATGGAGATGGCGCTCGGTGGTGCTCTCATGTCGCGCGCAGTGCGGGCAGCGGAGGCAGTGGCAGCGGTGGGGGAGAGGAGGGCGACGAGGAGGGAGTTGACGACCTGCGTGGAGAGCTGCGAGCGGTTGGCCAGCTGCGACACCAGCATCATGGCCGCCAGCTGATGGGGAGGGGGACAGGTGGGTGGGCAGCGGGTAGGAAGTCACACGGAGGAGAGGAGTGGATTCAATAGCTGCCACATCATGCATTTTATGCTGAGCTGAGCTGGCGCACGAGACTTGGCACGCTGGGTTGAGAGCAGCATGGCATGGTGAGGGGAGGAGGTGCACAGTGAGGGGGGACAGAGGCAGCAGGAATACCCTGTGCTCATGCACGGCGGAGGGCTGCAGGCCGTTGAGGATGAAGGGCAGCAGGTGGGAGAGTGCGTCCACGGACACGCGCATGGCAGCCAGCGCCTCCAGCAGCAGCACGCTCGTGAAGGTGAGCAGCCGCATGGCGGGCGCTGCAGGCGCCGTGGGGGGAGCCGCTGATGCAGGGCCGCCCCGGACCACACAGGTGGCCGCCTTCTCCGCCTGACGGGGACGAACAGATGGCGCACAAGGGAGGGAGCTGGCTTGAGTACAAGGAACGAGGATTGGCTTTGCGATGAAGAAGGTGAGTGTGCTAGGGTGATAATGAGAAGCAGAGTGTGAGGGGAAAACGAGAGGGGTCGAGCGTAACGGAGTGAAAGCAACAGGAAGCACATGGGGCATGACACATGGCATGGGAGGAGGAGGCATACCGCACGGCACATGGCATGGGAGGAGGCATACCGCACGGCACATGGCATGGGAGGAGGCATACCGCATGGCACATGGCATGGGAGGAGTCATACCGCATGGCACATGGCATGGGAGGAGGCATACCGCATGGCACATGGCATGGGAGGAGTCATACCGCATGGCACATGGCATGGGAGGAGTCATACCGCATGGCACATGGCATGGGAGGAGTCATACCGCATGGCACATGGCATGGGAGGAGTCATACCGCACGGCACATGGCATGGGAGGAGGCATACCGCATGGCACATGGCATGGAAGGAGGAGTCATACCGCATGGCACATGGCATGGAAGGAGGAGTCATACCGCATGGCACATGGCATGGAAGGAGGAGTCATACCGCATGGCACATGGTATGGAAGAAGGAGTCATCCTTGACGCATCTCTGCACGAGCTGCGCCCTCGGGATTGCCGCGCCATTGGCCTTGCAGCCGTGCAGCACTGGTGCCCACTTGGAGTGCCTGGCGCAACGGAAAGGGCGGGCGGGCGTTGTGAAGGTGTGGGGGGAAGCAGCTGTTATTACTGGGTTCTGCCACGTCCATGCTGGAACGCAACGAACGAGCATGCGAGCTAATCATCTGCGGCGCCATTCCTGACGGCATTGGCTGTATGGACCACGTCTGTGATGTGAATTCGTGGAGCACGAGAGCAGCGGGCGTGATGCGGCTTACTTGAGGGAGAGCAGCTGCACGATGCGCACGAAGAGGCTCGTCTCGTGGTACGGCAGCGCCGCCAGCACCAGCGAGTCCACGTTGCACTGCTGCACCCTGCGCGCACCCACACCACAACGCGTGCGCGGGGAGATGGGAGCGGAGGGTTTAGAGGAGAGGAGTAGTCAGAGGTGTGAGTAAAGATGGAAAGCTGGGCCACAATCCGGCGAAAGCTACGACGGATAGGGCTTGGATGCGCGCACCGGTACTTGCGGATGAGGTACTCGAGCGGCTTGTGGCTGGCGGGCAGCAGCAGCGCGTCGGAGAGCAGCATGAGGAACGCGTCGATCGACCGGTCCAGCGCCGCCACCACGTCGGGCGGCTCGTCGTCGCGATCCGTCTGCAGGCTGGCGGGCGAGAAGAGCGTGCTGAGAAACGGCTTGAAGCGCGCGTCCATCGCCACCAGCTCCGCCAGACCTGCACGCGCGCACGGTGAGACGGGTTGGGCGCAACGGGTGAAGGATATTGGCGCGACAGAGGAGTACGGGGTTCGGAGCCGCGAGGGCAGGCGTGTCGTTTTAGTGTAGAGCACGGGCATCGAGATCTAGGGGCCCGCGAGACTACGCAATTGACACTAACAGATTAGGAAAAAGGTATGACGATTTTGCGCCAACCTGCTTGCGCCATGTGTAAGATGGTTTCCGCGTCCACGTCAGCGGCTTCCTTGGCCTCGAAAATAAGGGACGGCCTAATGTGCGCCCCCCGTTTGCCGCTCGACTTGGTGACGACATCAGCTGCAGTTGGGCCCGTCGAGAGGGCGATTTGCCGCAGCTGTCGCGACAACGCTGTTCCCGCCATGTTGAATAGCAGTTTTCGGACCCTAGGCACGATGCGGCTGTCGTATGTAATGGACAGACTCGACCTAGAACTCACAGACGCTGAGGAAGCTGAGCCCTTGTTGAGTTTTGAAGGTTTTGGGGCCAGCGGGTTTGGGGATAGGTCTGGCTTAGGAGTCGCAGCAAGGGTTGCGACGGGACCGCGAAATCTGAAGGGTCGTCATTTCGTCCTCGAAATAACACCTGACGATCATCGCTTGTAGACACAAGCAGAGTGAATTTGGAACTAGCCACCCATCCCGTGTCGAGTCACTCTTTGCTGAATTGGCGGCGTTACAATACCAAGGCTAGGAGCAGGTTCCGCCTGCCCTTCGTTCCGATTGGTTTGGCCCGCTGTTTGGTTTGTCAGACACAAACAGCAACAGACCAACCTCGGAATGGAATCTGTTGAAGCAGAGCTGTGAAGGGCACACACTTCCAACACCAGCCATCCTTCATCGCACGGCGTCCTATGGAGCGGCGCCACACCTTGAGCGACTAGCGCGTGCAGTCGCTCGCTTCACAGGTCGATCGCGCTATGGGAGAAAGATCCAAGCCGTACAGTTCTGCGATCTGGCGTTAATTCATTCCTCACGACCCTGTGTCGCGTCACTGAGCCGCGTTCGTCCCTCTTCTTCGAATTGCGCTGAAGCGTACGATCTGGAGCTTCATTCTACCTCGCGTCGAGAATCCATTCGTGTAATGACGAATTCCACATCGTAGCTGTTTCTGTTCGCCGTCATGTCCACCAATGGTAGCCAAGAGCTGCTCTCGCCGCGAATTGCCAAAAGCGATGCCTTCCAGGCCGACTCGATCACGGCCGCCTCGCCAAAGGCGGAATCGAGTCGGCTTATAGCGAATGGAGAAGACGTTATCGTGCCGGCAGACGAGCTGGAGGATGATCTTGCCGAGTCAGCATCAGCGTTTGGTGGGCGCGCGTTGCCATGGTGCGAGCCGTGGCTGTGGTCGGTGGTTAAGGTGCTGCTGCTCGTGCTGCTCTGGTACACCTTCAGCATGGCGCTCTCCCTGTAAGCATGGCGCTCTCCCTGTAAGCATGGCGCTCTCCCTGTAAGCATGCCGCTCTCCCTGTAAGCATGCCGCTCTCCCTGTAAGCATGGCGCTCTCCCTGTAAGCATGGCGCTCTCCCTGTAAGCATGGCGCTCTCCCTGTAAGCATGGCGCTCTCCCTGTAAGCATGGCGCTCTCCCTGTAAGCATGGCGCTCTCCCTGTAAGCATGGCGCTCTCCCTGTAAGCATGCCGCTCTCCCTGTAAGCATGGCGCTCTCCCTGTAAGCATGCCGCTCTCCTTGTAGCTGCCGCTCTCTCTGGGCGACCATTTTCTCCCTAGGCTGGCCCTTGTACCTATTCGGTCCCTTTCGGCCTTATTGCCCCTTGTCAGGAGCCTTTCATTGCCCTTAACTGTACCCATGCACTCCCGCCATGCCATGCACTCCCGCCATGCCATGCACTCTGTACTCTGCACGGCGGGGCGGTGGCGGGTGGGGTGGGCAGGTACAACAAGGTGCTGATCGGCGAGAAGCACGGGCGCTTCCCTGCACCGCTGATGATGACCACCTTCCACTTCCTGCTGCAGGGCGCCATCGCCTCGCTGCTGCTGCGCTGCTTCTGCCAGTCCTGGCTGCCCGCCACGCCCATCTCCTGGCGCGACTACTTCCTGCGAGGTAAGCTCTTTCGCGAGAGGAGGGGGGTATGTTGGAAGGGGGGGGGGGTTGACCACGCCTGTGGGCTCATGCACGTTCTGAAACTTGTCCATCGAGGGTGCTTCAGGTGACTGTCTGGCCAATCCTTACTTGTCCACAATTCACCGTGTGTCGGCCTGTGCCCCGTGTGCTGTGTGCTGGTGTGCTATCCACGTGCATGCAGTGGTGCCCACGGCAGTGGCCACATCGCTTGACATCGCCCTCTCCAACCTCTCTCTCGCGCTCATCACCCTCACCTTTTACACCATGGTACGCCTTCCTGGCCGTTTTCCCCCTCTCCACTGTGCCAGATCTCATCCGCTTCATTCACTGCAGTCTTTTTAGACACGTTTTACAGAAAATTAGAGTCTGGCATTCTAACTTAGCCGCTTTCTACGAAGCACCTTGTGATGCATATAGAAAAATCATCGACTCGTGCATCACAAGTGGCATAAACCTTCACCCCCTCTCTCCTGCCTGCACATATTGCAGTGCAAGTCCAGCGCGCCTGTTTTCCTCCTCCTCTTCGCCTTCCTCTTCCGGTGAGCCACCACCCATGACCGCCTTTCCACCACACATAACCGCCTTTCCACCACACATGACCGCCTTTCCACCACACATGACCGCCTTTCCACCACACATAACCGCCTTTCCACCACACATGACCGCCTTTCCACCACACATGACCACCTTTCCACCACACATAACCGCCTTTCCACCACACATGACCGCCTTTCCACCACACATAACCGCCTTTCCACCACACATGACCGCCTTTCCACCACACATAACCGCCATCTAGGGCCATACCCACGCACCTGACACATTTCACTTCTTCACCCTCGTTACCAGCAACAATTCAATTCTCCCCATCGTCATCACCACTGCCAGTACCAATTCAATTCCCCTCATTCGCAACACTACCCCACCTCTGCTCCCTCTCCCCCCCTCCCTCCCGCACTTCCTCCAACCCCGCATGCCTTGTGAAGCCTGGAGACGCCAAGCTTCAAGCTGCTGGGCATCATGCTCGTCATCTCCGTCGGGGTGCTCTTCACAGGTGGGCGAGGGGGGGGGCAGGGGGGACGGGAGGGGGAGGAGGAGGGGGCTAGGAGGCTGTTACGATTATCATCCAGCATTTGTCTTACCACGCTTCGACTTTCCTCTTGTATCACAAAAAAGGCCCTCTACCCCAAGTGGCATCACAAGGCCCGATCCGTGCTTCCAACATTCCGTGTGCCCATGGGTGGCTTGCAGTGGCGGGGGAGACGGAGTTTGAGCTGCTGGGATTCATTCTAGTCATGGTGGCAGCATTTGTGTCGGGTCTCAGATGGGTGCTGCTGCAAGTGCTGCTGCAGGTAAGCCGCTGCTGTGTACTGCTGTGTGCTGCTGCTTTGCTGCTGCTGTGTACTGCTGTGTGCTGCTGCTTTGCTGCTGTGTACTGCTGCGTACTGCTTTGTGCTGCTGCTGTGTACCGCTGTGTATGTAAGCATCAACTGACCATCCCCTTAATTTGTGTCCTATCTCCCCTTGCGTGTTCCCAACATGTGCATTTTCAACCCATGGAATGTCAACTCACCATCTCCCCACCCCCTATTGCCGATTGCACTGGCGGCAGGGGGACAAACTTGGTAAGCATCCGTTGCCATGCCCCTTCCTCCTGTCCCACCTCAAGTTGTGCAGCCTCACAGTACCTGTGTGCTGTGCTTGCTCCTGCCACACGCCACAATCCTCCTCTTTCCCGCCATGCCACTATCTCCTTCCCAGTCCACCTCGTCCCCCTCAGCTCTCACCACCCCCATCCTGCGCCCTCCCCTGCCAGGTCTCACCAACCCGCTGCTCACGCTGGCCTATCTGGCGCCCGTGATGGCGCTCGTGTGCGGCGTCTTCTCACTGCTCCACGAGCCCTGGTCCGCGCTCACCTCGTCGCCCTACTTTGACACGTGGCAGCACACCCTCTGGAGCTTCGCCATCATGCTCGTGGGCGGCATCCTCGCCTTCTGCATGGTGCGTGCATGCTTGTGCGTGCATGCTTGTGCATGCATGCTTCTGCGTGCATGCTTCTGCATGGTGCGTGCATGCTTGTGCGTGCATGCTTGTGCGTGCATGCTTGTGCGTGCATGCTTGTGCGTGCATGCTTGTGCGTGCATGCTTGTGCGTGCATGCTTGTGCGTGCATGCTTGTGCGTGCATGCTTGTGCGTGCATGCTTCTGTGTGCATGCTTCTGGGTGCATGCTTCTGCGTGCATGCTTCTGTGTGCATGCTTCTGTGTGCATGCTTCTGTGTGCATGCTTCTGTGTGCATGCGTACATGCATTCGTGTGTGTTTTTTTGTGTGTGTGTGCGCGCGTGTGTTTCTCTGTGTGTGTGTGTGTGTGTGTGTGTGTGTGTTTGTTTGTGTGTGTGTGTGTGTGTGTGTGTGTGTATCCGTGTGTGTGTGTGTGTGTGTGTGTTTGTTTGTGTGTGTGTGTGTGTGTGTATCCGTGTGTGTGTGTGTGTGTATGTGTGTGTGCGTGCGTGCGTGCGTGCGTGTGTGTGTGTGTGCGTTTCTATATGTGTGTTCATGTGTGTGTGCATGTAGCAGCAGCACCTTTGTAAACCACTGCCCCACGCCTACCTGCCCTTCCCCTCCTCGCCCCCACTCCCACAACCCCTCCATCGTCCCTGGGCCCCACATGGGTGGCTGGCGTGTGTGGATGGCACGCGGCACGGGGCACTGTGCACGGGGGCGGCAGATCATGGCAGAGTTCCTGCTGGTGCTGGAGACGAGCGCCGTCACCTTCTCTGTGGCCGGCACCGTCAAGGAGGCCGCCACCATCCTCGTGAGCCACACGGGGGAGGGGGGGAGCAATGATGCCAGTGAGAATGAGGAGAAAGGAAGCAGAGGTGTGCAAAATGAGTGTTTCATGCAGTACACCAATGCACAGGTGGTGCACATGTGGTGCATACATGGGTGCATGGGTGGGTGCATAAGTGGGTGGACGGAATAATGCATCCACGCATGCATGTTGTGGTGGCAGCCAAAAGTGCGAGTAAGAGCTCTGCATCCCCTCATCTCCGCCCATGTCCTTGCAGCGCCTTGCTCTCTCGTCCTCATGCTCCTGCCATCCTGATGCCGAATCACTCGTGTGTGCCGCCATGCCTGTTTCTCTGTGCATGCCTCTGCGTCCTCTGTCGCTGCGGTCCTCAGGTGTCGCATGCGGTGTTTGGCGACCGATTCACGCGCATCAACCTGCTGGGCATCCTCATCATCATGCTCGGCGTCTCCCTCTTCAACCTCTACAAGTGAGCGCCATGCTCCTCCACTCACCACCCATGCCAACGCACAGCGCAGTCAGGCAGCAAGGCACAGTGCAGCAAGGCACAGGCGATCAACATTGTCTGGTCAATTCCACCTCTTCCTAATGCAGATTCGTTGCCTGTATATCGTGCTATCCACCAGCACATGTGCCTCTGCCAGGTACTGTGGCGATGGTACAAACTGCTGATTGTGTGTGGACGTGCATGTGTGCGTGCGTGCGTGCGTGTGTGTGTGTGTGTGTGTGTGTGTGTGTGTGTGTGTGTTTGTGTGTGGGTGGGTTCAATGTGGCAGGGTGTCGCGCAACAAGGCACGGGAGTCTGACGGCCATCTGGTGCACACGCTCAGCGATGCACCCCTTCCTGACCACCCGGGCATGTCCTCCGAGCAACTGCAGCTGCTACACCACCCCCCCTCGCCCTCCTCCTCCGCCCCCCAAGCATATCCTCTCTCTCCCCGCGGCACCCGGGACTCCACGCACGTGCTGCTGGCCACCAGCATGAGCCCTCGTGCCCACGCCCACACGCGACTCACCTCCCCCCGTGCCCAGGGTAGCCCAGCAGGCAGTGCAGCGTTTGAAGTGGCGGGCAGCACCTCTGACTTGAGTGCAGTGACTCGTGCAGGCAGTGCTGATGGCAGTGCTGATGGCAGGGGAACGGGGCTGACAACATATGATGCCGTCGAGATGGAAGCAATCTCCAAAGGGGAAAAGCAAGCGCAAGTGTAGAGTGATGTGGTAATGCAAGAGACCACTTCATTGCAAGATTCCATTGATCAATTCAAGTCCAGTTCTTCTCTTCTACTGAATCGTGGCCGCGTGGCAGAATCAGTGCTAACTTCACAACATTGCATGCAGTTTGGCGCGGCTGTTCCCTGACTCGTGGAGCCTAAACTCTGTGACACAACTGAGCTATAAGTAATAAAGAGCTCTACCTACACTAGCGAGTATACAGGCAGCGGCTAGGCGGTGGACTTGGAGCCTTCGAGCAGCTTGACGAGGTAGGCGCCGCCCATGTAGAGGCCGATGAGGGGCCCCGCCAGCAGGCACTGCGTGAGCGGGTCGGTGGAGGGCGTGAGCACGGCGGCGGCTGTGACTCCCCCCACCACCACGTAGCGCCAGATGCCCAGCATCTGATCCGCCGTCACCAGCCCCAGCTGCCCCAGCAGCAGCTGGATCACCGGCACCTGCCACCGACACAGGGGGGGGAGGGAGGGTGCACGGCGGGGAGGGACATGGGAGGTAAGACAACGAGAAGAATCAATGGTGGGACTTTGGAATATCTCATGGTGAAATTCTGGAGTATGCGTGGTGGAGGATGTGTGGGCTTATGATCGCGGGGATGTGGGGTGTGGGATAGCGGGTGGCAAGGGTGGAGATGTGCAGATGGATGGTGGTGGGCATCCATGCATGGGGGATGAGAGGAGCTTGCCTGGACGGAGAGGAGTGTGACTGGAAGGGACGGAACTTGCCTGGGAAAAAAGGAAGTTGCATAGAAGGAGAGGAGCTTGCCTGGAAGGAGAGGCCGGTGGAGAACATGAGGAGCAGCACGAACTCGAAGTACTGGTCGATGGACCACAGCGACTCCACTACGCCCTCGGCGTACGAGATGAAGAAGTTGAGTGCGGCGGGCGTGAGCACGGAGTAGCTGAAGGCAATGCCCGAGTAGAAGAGCACCGACGACCCAAACACTATGGGCGCCAGGAAGCGCCGCTCGCTGGCTGTCAGCCCCGGCACCACAAACGCTATCACCTCGTACAGAATCACCGGCCCGCCCAGCAGCAGCCCGCAGTACCCCGCCACCTGCCAGCCAGGGATGGGAAGACATGATGGGGACAAGAGAGCACGAAGCGGGCCACATGGGGCATGGCATGGCCACGGGGGATAATACGAGGCATTGTATGGGGCACACTGCAGGGCATGGCATGGGATGTATGTGGCGTGGTGCTGTACTTAAAGTGCCAAACGCGTCTAATTTGCATCGTGAAGCCCCACTCACCTTGAGCGTGGTGAAGAAGTATTCCCCCGGCGAGAGCTGCAGGAAGCGCACGCCCTGGGCGTACACGGGGGCCTCGAGGAACACCACGAGGTCGCGGCTGTAGAAGAAGCAGAGCAGGATGGCGCCGCCCACGGCGCCCACGGACACCAGCACGCGCTCGCGCAGCTCCTCCAGGTGGTCCCAGATGCTCATGGGCACGTCGTCCGGCAACTCGTCCTGCCCCGGGTTCAGCCACTTCTGAATCGGCGTGCGCTCCTCCTCCCCCATCTCCTGCAGCAGCGCCGGACTCACCCCTGCGGCCCCCGTCGTGAGGCGCACGGAGCAGACACAGGGGGGAACAGCACGAGGGGCGCATGGAACGTGAAAAGAGGGGAAAGGGCAAACAACGGGAGTGCGAATGCGCCCTCCACGTGCGTTAGGGTCAACGCCTCTACTGCGCGTCTATTTCGCGGACCACACGTGCCACCCCCACCTCACGCTCTACGACGCTGCCAGGAGATCCACGTGTACACCTGCCCACTCACAGTTATCTGGTCGCCTCTCGACCGGCTGCGCCTCTACGGCTGTCAACGCAGTCGACGACTCTGCCCCCTCCGCCCCTGCCCCCTTCGCCCCTGCCCCTTCCGCCCCTGCCCCCTCCGCCTCCCCATCCTTCGCCGCGCCAACAGCCCACCGCCCTCTCCGCGTTTGCCGCATGGGCGAGGGAGCCAGCGGCAGAGGTGCGTGCCGCGATTCGCGCCATGCCAGCGACTGCGCGTTGCTTGGTTGCAGACCTGGAGTCGCCGACACTCGCCATGCTCTTACACCTCTTTCGCTTACTCGCACAGGCGATTGTGCGACTGTTGCAAGCGACAGGTGAGATCGCGTCGCTAGTTGGACATCCATCGCCAGTTCCGGCATCGTCGAACTGAGCGACAGCGACGAAGATGCGGTGCGCTAAGGCAGGCGCAGAATGCGGCGAGGGAAGTGGAAGGGGGTGAAGGCACTGAAGGAGTGTGTTTGGAATCAGGGTGGGAGCAACTGAGTGCGTGGCGAAGAGTTGGGGGCGACAGCAGGGCGGTTCACGAAACACGATAATGCGCGGGGTGATGGCGACGAGGGCACTGCGGGTGGACCAACTGCATAGCGCCAAGTCGACACCCACGAAATTCTTTCGCGGAGATGTTGAGGTGCGAGCGACAACTTCCTGACTAAAGGGAAAATATGCCATAAGTAACCAACATGGGACTCGATAACGTAAGTGGTAAAAAAAAACGCGTACGGTCACTGTATCGGGTTTCGTGACAGGCTTGGTAAATGGGGTCACGGATTCAGTCACTAACAACAGGTAAAAAATCACGCGAATGGTCACACATGTAACTCCCGCCAAAAAAACTTGAAACTCAACAAAATTCCCGCTCGCGTCCAACCAATCAGCTAACTTTAAGAAAAACTAAAACCCAATCGGAATCGGATGCGGTTTGGGAACGGATCAACCCTAAACACCTGGCGAGTTACGTGTTTAGGGTTGATTCCGAAAATGCATCCAGGTTCCTTTTGGGTTTCATTCTGTTTTGGCGGGAGTTTCATCTATGACCATTCGCGTTTTTTTTACCAGTTGATTGTGACTGATTACGTGAAACGTTTTATCAGTTGCGTGAAAACACCCCTTGCAGTGACCGTACCCTTTTTTTTTTTTTTACCATTCACGTTATCGAGTCCCAAGTTGGTTACGTATGGCATATTTTCCCCTGACTAAAACCCGAATTTGCCTACTGGTACACCGTAATATCAAGTGGTACAACACTACAAAAACATACATCAAGCACCCACTTGCTTTTAAACAGCTTGGGTTCTCAATGATGCTTGAATACTTGCACCGTGCCTCCCACAGGACTCAACGGCCCTGATGCTCCTCCGGGTCCCTTGAAGTTGGGAGATGCTAGCTTCGCCATGCTCGCATGTGCTCCCTGCTCAAACCCGCCAGCCTGTGCTGCATGTGCTGCTGCAGCAGCAGTGTGGCCATGGGGACCGGTGGAGCCGGGGCCAGCAGCAGCAGCGGGCGAGGCGTGAGCCTCGTTGGCTGCGATGGCTGCAGAGCGGCGAACCTGGGAGGTGAGGGTGAGCAGCACGCCATGCCATGATGGCAGGATGAGGCACGTCGGTACAGTTAGTGACACTGTGATAGGGGCAGAGCAGTTCGGTTCTTGATACCAATAGGATTATGCACCGGAAAGACATGTGGTGACAGATGGGTATGGTGACAGATGGGTATGGTGACAGATGGGTGTGCAGCAAGAGATGCAGCAGAGGAGCAACACAGCGAGAAGGTACTCACTGCTGCGAGGCGTTGGCGATGTGCCTCCGTGACAGGCTGCACAGAGCGAGATGGAGGGCAGGGCACGGCGGGCACAGCAGCAAGGAAGGGTGCAGATGAAGACGGAGAGCATGTGAGGTCCAGGTGCCGCATCACAAGCACACCGTACCATGCCACATCACTGCCCAAGCCATCTACATCGCGCCCGGAAAGTGATATGAACGGCACCTTACGTGCAACACACAGCAAGAGCACTGAGAGGGCGAAGCAAGAGCACTGAGAGGGTGCAGGAAGAGCACTGACAGGGCGCTTGTAGACGCGGTAGTCGTCACCCGTGAAGCCAGGGATGCGCATGTGCCAGCTGCGCTCTGCCACACACACACGCAACACACAGGCAGCAGTGGGTGGCGGCACGGTACGGCATGGAGGCGACGAAGGACACAGCGGAGGGTGCGGGTGGCGCAAAAGAAACGAGCAGAGTGGAAAGGCAGGGTGGTGGAGGGAGGGCGGCAGGGAGGCGCACCGAGGTGCAGCAGAACGTCCTTTGCCTCCAACACCTGCGATTTGCGATGCCTCGCCAGCTGGCAACCAAACGCCGTCACCTGCCCTCACACAGACATGCACGCACACATACCATCCATGCACACATACCATCCAATCACACATGCCATCCATGCACACATGCCATCCAATCACACATGCCATCCATGCACACATGCCATCCATGCACACATGCCATCCATGCACACATGCCATCCATGCACACATGCCATCCATGCACACATGCCATCCATGCAAGCATGATTAGATGTAGGGATTGGATCCAATCACATGAAACATATGCATCGGAAAAACCAACAATATGAGGGAGTGCCAAGTAGGTGGCGGGCTAGCGAGTGCAGTGAGAAGTGGGGAAGGGACTGGGGGACGAACGGATTGGATGAAGTCGTCGGCGAGGTCTAGCAGCACCTCCTCCACCTCGGGGTCCAGCTGCATGCGCGCATCCACCTGCCCAGCCCGCCACATGCCACATGCCACAGATTTCATCCCATGTCGTTACCCATATCATGCCAAAGTACTTTCAGGGGACTGAGTCAACATGTAAGCTATGGGCATGGTGCGTGCATGCAGCCAAGAGCACTCAACATCTGGCCTGTGCATCCTTTGACTGACCCACCCGCTGCCTACCTGCTTTGCCAGTTCCTGCAAAGTCCTCTTTCCCAGAAGCTTCTTGCCCTCCACATTGGCGTGAGCAGCATTGCCTGCACCAGTTGCGGCCTCCCCTGAGCCGCTGCCTGCAGCAGCAGCACCTGGTCGCCCTGGCACCCTGCCAGCCGCCTGCTGTGCTGCCTGTGCCGCCTTCGCCTGTTGCTGCTGCTGTTGCTGTTGCTGTTGCTGATGTTGCTGTTGCTGCTGCTGCTGTTTCTGCTGTTGTTGTTGCTGTTGTTGCTGCTGCTGCTGTTGCTTTAGTTGTTGTTGTTTCTGCTGCTGCTGTAGCTGGTGGTGATGCGGAGAGGGGGCAAAGTGTTGCTGCTTGCCCTGGGTGGGCGACAAGGGAGACATGCCTCCCACCGGCCCATGCTGCCCGTGCTGCTGTGGGATGGGCGCGGGGTGCAAGAGGAGATGAAGGAGTGGGAAGGACGATGTGCAACGCGGACAGGACAGGGAGGGCAAGAAGCGGGGAGTAAGAGCGTCAGGGAGGGAGTGGACGGAAGTCAGAAAAAGGGGAAAAATGATGCGGGGGGCGTGGGGACACAGGGAGAAGGCGAGACGAGACAGTGAAGGGGGGAGCATAAAAGGAAAGGGAGATGAGAGTAGGGATGCACGAGATGGGGAGGCGGGCACGCAGCGGTCTGTGAGCATCCGCCTGTGGGGACGCCCTTGTTTGCCTCGCTGCCATGCCACCCACCCACGCCATGCCTCGCACAACCATGCGCAACGCATCGCACCGCATTGCACCACATCACACCACACCGCACCTGTGCGCCTGCCTGTCCCCTGGCTCCATATCCCATGCCGCTTGACCCCACCACCCCCCTTCCATGCTGCTCTGCCTGCTCCGTTCCCCCCTGCCCTCCGCTTCCCCCCACCTGCTGCATTCCGCCCCTCGCGCCTCCCCCTGGGCTGGCGCTGTAGCCTTGCTGCTGCAGGTGTGGCGCAGAGGGGGAATAGGAGGCTCCGCCAGGCGACGCGGATTGCGCCTGTGAGGGGTATTGGGGGGCCGCTGAGGAGGGGGAGAAGTGCGAGGACATGGTGGGGGTGGACTGGGGGCCGCGCATGTTGGCGGGGAGGTGCAGGGAGGAGGGCAGGGCGGGCAGTGAAGCAGAGGAGCTTGGGGAAGCGCCGGCCTTCCCCATACTTGGCGGCATGGCGGAGGGGGAAGGCCCACCTTGCGCGGAGGCGTTAGGGTTGTTGGCAAGCGCAGACGAGCGCAGCTGCGCGCTCGCCGTGGGACTCATCATTCCCCCCATCGCGCCACCTGCCAGTCCGCCCGGCGCGTTAGCGGCAAGTGCGTAAGGGGGAGCGACGCGCGACATGGGGTAGGAGCCGGGCTGCGAGGGGGAGGGCGTGGAGGGCAAGGGGGATGCGGCGGGGGCCCCTGGAGGAGGCATGAGGGCCGACGGCGAGGAGTGCAGCGCGTGGGCGGCGGGGGAGGCACCGTCGGCGTGCGGCAGGTGGGTGGGCATCGTGGACAGAGCGCGCGCTAGGAGAGGCGAAAGTCGCGGGGAGCGGCGGCGAGGTTAACGCGGAGAGCGGGTCGACGCGAAGGATGGCGGTGAAGGCGAGGCGACAAGGACACGTGGCCTCACGACACGAGGACTCGCGAACCTCAGTGAGCACAGCAATGGCTGGCTTGCGACAACGAATGGATGGAGCGACTGACGGGCGCGACGGGTAGGTAAGGTAGGACGACGACAGTGAGTAGAACTCACGAGGCACGTGCAACGACGGTGAGGTGAGAGCAGCGCGAGACGGAGATGGAGTGAAAGTGCGAGAGGGAAGGTGGGGTGAAGGGACACAGCTTGGGGCAGGAGGTTGTGGGATAGTTGTGGGCTATCCGTGCCTGCACCATTCTTTTGTCACATGAGGCGTGTAGAAATGGTGGTTTGTATTTCAATATCGAGTATGAGCACCAATCACTGGATCATGTGTGAATTTGGGTTTGAACTCGAATGACGGAAAGCTGATCCTCGCTTGAATTTGGGACTCGACTCACGAAACTCGCATAGCCGCTCTGCGGGAGAAGAATCCTTGGAGTGCCGTTTTCCGTCACACATCAGATTCGTGCGTCGCATTCGTCCTCAGGCAGTGCGCGCAATCGCCGTCGCTTTAGACTGGGCGCTCCCACCCTATGCCGTCGCGCACGCTGATTGCACCATTCCACCTGTGATGCACGTGGCTGGTAGGTGTTAGGTGACCCGAGCGCGCGGCATCATGGGCAGGACAGAATGGGGAGGCGCGGATGGGGACGACGACGTGGGCAGTCCGGGGAGGGCGGAGGGGCCGACAGCGGAGGAGGCGGGGAAGCGGAGGGAGCGCATGGGGGCGGAGATGCGCAAGGCGGTGGCGCAGCTGGACAAGGCGGAGCCCGCCGCCGTTATCGACGGGTTGCAGCGCCTGCACGCGCGCATCGTGAAGCACGGCGCGCGGGCCGTCGACGCGTACGTGCGCGTGTCGCCGCCGGACTGGCTGCAGCTGCTCCGCCTGTGGGACGCCTGCCACCGCCGCGGCGCCTCGCACCAGGTGGGTCCGCCGCCCCTTGCGCTCCCCGCGTCGCTGCGCACTCAAGTTGCAACGCCCTGATCACGCGCTGCTCAACCCCCAACCCGTAATCCCGCTCGTAAACCCTGGGCCCAGAACCTCTCACTTTCCCGGCCTCCGTGTTCTCACAGTGTCCCTCTCTCCTTCTTCGCGTCCCCCATCGCGTCCGTCTGCAGGTGGCTCTCCCCCTCATGGCGGTGCTGGCGGACATCCTCGCCCTCGCCGCGCACACGCCGCGCCCTCTCCCCCACACACCCGCGCGCGCCCCTCCCTCCGTCCCTCCACCTGTGCTGGGCGCGCCTCTGTCTCTCCCCCGCCGCATAGAGGCGTTGGCGCGCGCCCTGCTGCCGCGGTGCTGCAGGAAGGGCGGCCTCTACGCGCATCTCTCCTCCCCTTCCCACGCGCACGCCACCTCCGCCCTGCGCCTGCTGCTCGCGCTCTCCCTCATCACCCCCGCCCTCACGCGCTACCTCCTCCTCTCCTTCGACTTCTCCCTCCCTGCCCTCCCCGCCCTCACCCAGCCCCCCGCGCCCTCCCAGGCGCCGGGCAGCGGGGGGAGAGGGAGAGGCGAGAGGGGGAAGCACGTGGGCGCACGAGGGGGGGCAGCAGGCGCCGTGTTCTGGTCTGGCACACCAGCGGTGGTCGTGGGCGGCGAGCAGGGGGAGCAGGCGGAGCAGGGGGAGCTGGGGGAGGAGGGGGAGGAGTTGGAAGAGGGGGAGGAGGGGGACGAGGGGGTCGAGGGGGCGCTAGGGGTGTTGCTGGGCAAGCAAGGGGAGGGGGCGTGCGCGGACGTTGGGGAGGTGCCAGCGCGCGTGCTGATGGCGGAGTGGGTGGTGGCGTGCCTTTCTGTGGCGGACGCCGCCACTCTCACGCACGCCCTCGTGGCGCACAGGCACAACCTGGCCGGCATTCTCTGGCGTCTAGTGGGCGACCACCCCGTGACAGCTGGCAAGGTGTTGTGGGTGCTGCAGGCGCGGGTCATGGCTGCCAGTAGCAATGTGCCACGTGGCCTGCAGGGAGCTCTGTTCGGGGATAGTGCGCTTGAACAGATGGCGCGTGTGGCGGGGAGGGAGGAGGGGGGCGGCGGGGAGGGGGGTGCGGGGGCGGTGGCAGCAGGGATGGCGCTGCAGGTGCTCCTGGCCGTGTGCACGCACGCCCGCCATGGCGTGCTCGTGGGGGGAAGTGGGGGGGGCGCGCTTCAGGGGAGACCGCAGGAGGGGATGGAAGAAGGGGGGGAGGGGGAGGATATGGCGGAGGAAGGGATTGGAGCAGGGGGCAAGGAAGGGCAGGGGGGAGCGGCGGGCACGGAGGGTGCGGGAGGGGTGTGGGAGGGGGAGTCGGGCAAGGGCGGATTGGCCTCCTCCGCTGCCGATTCCCAAGCCTCCTCTCATTGGTCGGCCGGCATGGATCGTCTCATTCGCCTCGCGCGTGGACTGCATGTGCTGCAGTGTGCGGCGCACCGCTCGCTGCTGCTGGCCATGGCCCAGGCGTGCCCTCCCCTGGCTGCCGCCTACCTGCAGCGCCCTCCCTTCTCGCTGCACCCCACGCCGCATGCCCACTGGTATGACGCTGCCATGTGCCTTGCTTCACCCCAAACACCTTCTTGCACTGAACAGTTTTTCCACTTCTCATCCACTTCCTCTCATCTTCTTTCTTCTCCTCGCCCCTCTTGTCTCTCAGTCTCCATCATCCCGTTATCCCAATCGCCCCATCAAATGGCCCCTAACGCTCGCCCCCCACCCGCCCATGCCGCACCCCCCCTCCCCCAGGTTCGCGGGCATGGCCCTGGTGAGCCGCCTCGTGCGCATCTGCTCCACAATGCCCCTCCTCTCCGCCTCCGCGCCCTTCTCCCTGCACCTCCCCTCGCCCAACGTCTCTCCTCTCCTCGCCCGCGTGCTCCCCCCGTGCCTTCCGCGCCCCGCTCTCACGCGCGCCCTGCTGCACCGCTCGCCCCGTGTGCGCCTGCTGGCGCTCTGCACGCTGCTCGACTGCCTCTCCGCCGCCCTGCCCCTCCTCGCCCTCGCCCTCCCCCTCGCCGCCACGCACGCCGGCGCGGGTGCAGCGGGAGAGGCAGATGAGGGAGGCGAGGGAGGGTTGTGGTGGGCGAGAGCGAATGAGGGTGGGGATGGGGGAGAGAGGACGAGCGAGGTGAATGTGGAGGCGGTGGAGGCACGGCAGGTGGCGGGCAGGTATTGGAGCGTGGTGGTGGCGGGAGTGCGCGTGCATGTGGTGGGCGCCGTGCCCGACGTGCAGATCGTGCTGGGCGTGCTGGCTGCCTCTCAGCCCAGCAGGGGCGAGGGGGGCGCGGACGAGGGCGGACACGTGGCCCCACGAGAGGGGGCAGTGTGTGGGGTGAGGCGGGCAGGGGGCGCAGGGGAGGGCGGCAGGCGGAAGAGAGGGCGGGGTGCAGCAGGTGAGTGGCAGGTGATGGAGGACGGGGGGGGTGAGGGGGAGGAGGGGAAGGAGGAGGAGGGGGAGGGAGAGATGGGAGAAGTAGAGGAAGAAGCGGAGGAAGAGGAGGGGGAGGAGGGGGAGGAGGGGGAGGAGGTGGGGATGGATGATGAGATGGATGACGAGGAGGAGGGAGGGCGCTGGTCGGTTCGCCTGCTGTTGCACTGCAAGGCTCTGCGCCTCCTCGCTCTCTACCAGGTACTCCTCGCTCTCTACCAGGTACTCCTCGCTCTCTACCAGGTACTCCTCGCTCTCTACCAGGTACTCCTCGCTCTCTACCAGGTACTCCTCGCTCTCTACCAGGTACTCCTCGCTCTCTTCCAGGTACTCCTCGCTCTCTACCAGGTACTCCTCGCTCTCTACCAGGTACTCCTCGCTCTCTACCAGGTACTCCTCGCTCTCTACCAGGTACTCCTCGCTCTCTACCAGGTACTCCTCGCTCTCTACCAGGTACTCCTCGCTCTCTACCAGGTACTCCTCGCTCTCTTCCAGGTACTCCTCGCTCTCTACCAGGTACTCCTCGCTCTCTACCAGGTACTCCTCGCTCTCTACCAGGTACTCCTCGCTCTCTACCAGGTACTCCTCGCTCTCTACCAGGTACTCCTCGCTCTCTACCAGGTACTCCTCGCTCTCTTCCAGGTACTCCTCGCTCTCTACCAGGTACTCCTCGCTCTCTTCCAGGTACTCCTCGCTCTCTTCCAGGTACTCCTCGCTCTCTACCAGGTACTCCTCGCTCTCTTCCAGGTACTCCTCGCTCTCTACCAGGTACTCCTCGCTCTCTACCAGGTACTCCTCGCTCTCTTCCAGGTACTCCTCGCTCTCTACCAGGTACTCCTCGCTCTTCACCAGGTACTCCTCGCTCTCTTCCAAGCAAATTGTGTCTTGCCTCGCGTGCACCTGCTGCTTCGCTTTCCTCATGCCCGCTTCCCCCTTTCTCCTCCCCCCTGCCTGCCTGCTGCATGCAGAGGGTGGTGCCGGCTGCTGTGGCCGCCTGCCACGTGGATCCGCTGCGCTTCCTGCGCGCCGACCTGCCCTCGCTGCCCCCCCCCTTGCTGCGAGCCACTCTGCGCCTCCTCCTCGCCTTCTTCCCACCTCCTTCTCAACGCACCCTCACATTCCCCGGGCCTGGGACTGGAGGATCGCACAGCACGCTGCCCCTGCCTGCACCGGCTGAAGCGCCACCGGCTGGGGACGAGTCCCTCTGCACCTTTCCGCTGCACAGCCACCTGCTGCCGCTGCTGCTGCTGCGCCTCTCCCCCCCGCCCGCTGACCTCGCGCCCGATGTTGACTGGCTCTGCACCGCTGCCATGCTCTCCTCACATGCATTCCATGCCCGCCAATCAGAGGCTGTCATCTGGCTTCGCTTCCTGCCCACCATGGCGCCTGGCAGTGCTGGCAGCAGTGCGGCGGCAGCACGAGGGGTGGCGGCGTTTCTGGCGGATGCCGTGGCGTGTGTGGCCCGCGCGCCCCTCAAGTACCTGCTCGCCCTCCCTGCCGCCTCTCCACCCCCCGCCCATGCATCCCACTGCCCCTCCTGCCGTGCCCGGGGCCACACCCCCATGGGCTCCCTGGGTCCCTTCCCTGCCTGCATTCTCACCAACTGCATCAAAGTGCTGCATGCAACCTCCCCCTCCCCCGCCTCCTCCTCTTCCTCCTCTTCCTCCTCCTCCTCTCTGCCAGTGCAGCTTGCCATCGCCACCTTCACCTGCAACGCCCTCACGCACCTCATCTCCCTTCAGGTGCCTCACTGCTTACCCCTTGTTTCTCCTCCTTTGCTCAAATTTCTCCCTTCTCTGCTCAAGGCCCCAACTCAGTCTTTGTTTATTCCTCAGTTCCCAACTTCCTTCCACCCCCTCCATCCCTGTAGCGCCCGCTCAAACCATGTCTTGCCACGTGCATGCTGCTGCTGCATCCACACACTCATTCCCTCCTTTGTCCGTTCCTGCACCCTCCTGTGTCTGTGCCTGCACCCTCCTGTGTCCGTGCCTGCACCCTCCTGTGTCCGTGCCTGCACCCGTTCTGTCCGCCTTGTCCTGCCCGCCTCTTCTCTTCTCGTTGCCGTGGCTATCAACAGGAATGCCCTCTCCCGCTCGCTGCTCTCATCACTCACATCCTCCGCCCTGCCCTGTCCTCCTCCTCTTCCACCACCACCTCCCCCTCCGCCTCGTCCTCCCCCACGCCACACGGTCGCCCCCCTCTCTCTGCGTCGCTGCTCTGCCTGCAAGCGCTGCTGGAGTCGGCCGCCTCGCTGCTTCCTGCTCAAGCTGAGGGGCAGCCCGCGGGGAGGGGAAAGAGGCCGCACAGTGCGGCTGGGGCGGGTACTCACAGCTGCGACGCCTGTGATGCTGGCAAGCGCGCAGCAGTGGAGGCAGCAGTGGGGGCGGCAGAGGCGGAGCAAGCGAGTGGCAGGGACGCTGCCCTCTCACACTTCACTCTCGCCCTCTCCTCTGCCCATCCACCCTCGCTCATCTCCCTCCTCCCTCGCCTCGCCTCGCTCGCTGCCTCCCTTCCTCCACCCGCCATGCCTCTTCTCTCCTCCACTCTCTGTGCGCACGCCCTCCTCCCCTCGCTGCTGCCAGTGCACGCGCCTGTGCTGCTGGAAGCGAGTGTGCTGGCGCAGCAAGCACTGCTGCCTGCCGCCACCTGCCACCACCACCACATGTCCCCCGCAGTGACCTCACCACTGCCTCTCCTCCTCCCCCCCATGCCCTCTTCTCCCCACCCCTCCACGATTGCTCTCTCCCACCTCCTCCTCTCCCTGCCCTTTGCGCCTCTGCTCTCCCTGTGCGTGCGCGCCCTGCTCGCCCCCCTCAAGCTCCACCGCCGCCTCGCCTCCTGCCTTGCTGCGCTGCTGCTGGCCCGCCTGCGCCTGCCGTCGCCCCCCGTGCTGCAAGAGAGGGCCGCAGGGGCAAGCCACGCACGCCTGGGCGAAGGAAGTTTGTGGGGGGAGAGGAGGGGGGAGGTGGGGAGGGCTGTTGTGTTTGAACTGGGGCGAGTGCTTGGCGTGGGTACGGCGGGGGGCGAGCAGGTGGGGGGGGCGGAGTGGAGGCGGCGGCAGCGCTGTGTGCGTGTGTGCATGGCGGCACTGGAGGCCACCCTCATGCCGCCACCGCTGCCCTCGCCCTCCCACCCCGTGCACGCTGACAGCGCGTGGAGCGACGGACGGGACGAGCAGGGGCAGCAGGGTGGAATGGAGGATGAGAGTGCTTGTGAGTTCATGGCACAGGCAGCTGACGTCATGTCACACCCTCTGCTCCTCGCAACATTCACAGGCCACCTGGATGACGCCACTGCCTCGCCCTCTGCACACCTCTCCTCCCTCCTCACCTTCCTCCGCTTGTCCATCTCCCGCCTCCTCCTCCGCCTCCTCTCCTTCTCCCATCCCCTCCACCACTCTCTTCCCGACTCGCCCTCGCCTGCCCCCCCACCAGCCGAGGGCACCCTTCTCCTATGGCAGGCCTGTCAGCCATTCCTGTGCGCCGCCCACCACTCCCTTGCTGCCTCCCTCGCGCCCTTCCTCCCTCCCCACTCCCCGTCCCCCCCTGCCTGCCCCTCGCCTGTGCGCTCTGCCTCGCATGCGGTGGTGCTGGTGGCGCCAGGGAGGAGCGGCGAGGGCGGGGTGGGGGGCAGAGCGCAGGAGCAGAGCAGGGTGTGGCGACAGGTGGGAGGAGGGGCGCTGGGCGACTGGCACTTCGACTTCAACACCAGCTGTGTCACGTGGAGGGGGGAGGGAGATGGCGGGGGAGGAGCGGAAGGGGCTGGGGAGGAGGCAGTGCAAGAGGAGGCAGCGCAAGGGGTGGCAGTGCCAGTGAGCGTGGTGGTGGCGCTGTGGCTCTCTCGTTTCATTGCCCTGCCGTGCCACTCCTCCCCGTCTCCCCTTGTGCAGCCCGCCCCTCCCTGTGCCTCTGCTATTCAGCCCGCTCTTGCCCCTTCCTGTCCGCACGTCACCCGTGTCCCCTCCTCGCCCTGCCTTGCCAGCCTGGCAGCATGGGCGGGATGGATGGCAGCAGTGCTGCAGGGAATGGCGCACGGGAGGATGGCGGATGGGAGCATGGTGATTGGGGGTGGGGCAGCAGGGGATGGTGAGAGGGAGAGTGTGAGGGGGGCATGTGAGCACATGGCGTTGACAGTTGCATGTGTCACATTCCAACACGCCAAGGCAGCTGTGGGCGAGGGGCGTGGTGGGTTGCCGTGGGTGGCCCCACAGCCACTGCCGCAGGCACTGCAGCACAGCACTTCACGTGGGGGGGCGAACGTGTGTGCGCATGGGGCGCTCACAGCGCTGGTGGAGGCGGCCCTGCACGCGCTGCTCACACGGGCCACACGCCAAGCAGAGCACACAGCTATCGCGGCACTGGAAGCTGCCGTGCACCTGCCCTGCCTGCACATCTGGCCAAGCCCTGTGGCGTGCCACGCACCGTGCTCGCACGTGGCGCGTGTGTGCCCTGCAGCCCTTGAGCGGCGCGTCATTCACTCGTGCGTGCACCACCCCTCGTGGCGCCGTGGCAACCTGCTCTCGCTGCTCCTCGCTGCTCACGCACGCCCTGAGGAGCGCACAGGGAGCAGCAGGGTGGCGGGCGAGGTGGTGCAGGCTGTGGCTGAGTGGATGGGTGGCGAGGAGAGGCAGTGGTCGGGCGCACGCTCAGCGAAGGGTGTGAGGGGCAGGGCGGATGCAGGAGGTGGTGTGGGGCATGCGTGGTGGCAGGATGGGGACGGGTGGATACGCATGCTCATGCTGCTGCCTGCAGTGGCTGTTGCTGTGGGCGAGGAGGGCGAGGGTGGAGGGGCAGCAGGTACGAGTATGGTGGCGTGCACGTACAGAGACATGCTCCTCGCCCTGCTTTCTCCCTGCACCCCGCCCTATACCGCCGCAATCACCCCTCCCTGCCACCTTCCCCTCTCCCATCTTCCTCCTCACATCCTTCCCTCCTTGCTATCGTACGTCCCCGCTCTTCTCCACTCGCTGCTGCTCGCTCATCCCCTCCCCCGCTTGCGCCTCGCCTCGCTCGTCCACGTGGTGGTGCCACACGAGCAGCAAGAGGGCGGTATGCAGGGGGGAGGCAAGGGCGCACGTGGAAAAGGGAGGGGCAGTGGGAACGGCAGGGGGGAGGTGGAGGACAGTAGAGGAGGGGTGATTGGAGGTGGGGGGTGGCGTGTGCAGGGGGGCTGTGTGACGGCTGACTCGCTGCTGCAGGTGGCACTGGCGTCCCGGCTGGCCTGCACCGGCCCCGTGCCCACGGCGCCCTGCAGCACTGGTAGCGCTGCTGGTGCTGGCAGTGCCGGCGCTGGCAGCTGCAGTGGGGAGAGGGAGAGCACGAGAAGGGTTTGGGGAACACCTGCTGCACAGATGAGGGTTTTGGCTGCCCTTTTGAATCTTCTTGGAAGCATCTTCCCTCTCGCACCAGAGGCACAAGTGGCTGTGGTGACGGGCAGTGGTGGTGGCAGTGGGTGCGGGCAAAGAAAGCGTGTGGGGGGAGAAGGTGAGAGGGCAGTGGGTGGTGGGCGGGTGACAATGGCAGCGAGAGAGCTTCAGCAGGTGGCTGCCGTGCACGTGGCTCGTGTGGCCACGCACCTGGCACGTGCACTCACTGCTGCTCCACCTGCTCCCGTGTCGCCACACCCGCCACCATCTCCCACCGCCCCGCTCGTCCCCCTGCCTCTGCTGCAGCACGGCCTGGCCTCGCTGCGCCTTGCAGCCGTGGCGTGCCTCAAGCACCGCTTCGCCCACCCTCTCGCCTTCCACTCCCTCACCCTCGCCTGCCGTGCCCTGCTCGCCGCCGCCACTGCCCCCTCCGTGCACCCACCGAAGCATCCCGTGCCAGCAGCACCGCCACCGTCACAATCGCCGTCACAAGCCGCGGCAGCAGCGGTGTCCAGCGTGGGGTGCGCCCTCTTGGACCTCCTCCTCGCGCACTCTCGCACTCTGCCTCTCCTCCTCTCCCCCTCCGCTGGCCCCTCCGCCGCCCCCCTGCCTGCAGCGCTGGCCCACCAACTGCACAAGGACAGCAGCAGAGCTGTATCGCTCCCGTCGCCCCTCTCCCTCATCCCCTCTCCCCTCCTCCCCGATCTCCCCCTCATTGCCGCATCCTGCCCGCCCTCTTCTGCTCGCAGTCCTCCCGGGGCAGCGTGGCAGGTGCAAGAGGGGCAGCGAGATGCAGACAGGGAGGAGTTGGGGGAGGAAGCAGAGATGGGGGCAGGCGTTGAGGTGAAGGTGCGGGCCAGTGAGCTCCTGCACTCGTGCCTTCACTCCCCCATGCTCTGGCCGCTCGCACTGCCATGCGAGGCACCAAACCATGCAACGAGGGAGGGAAGAGAGGGTGGAGAGGGGGAGAGGGCTGACGGGGAGGCAGGAAAGCGAAGGAAGAGGACGAGGGGAAAGGGAGGATCAGAGGGGGATGAGGAGGGCGAGTGTGCAGGTGAGGGCGCAGCGCGGTTGGAATTGCTGCGGCTGATGACTGTCTTCTTGCGAATGAGGCTATGCCACGTGTCTGGCCGTGTGTGCTCCTCGGCGTGTCGCCGTGCCATGCAGTCGCTCTTTGCGCTGCTGCTCGCCCTCTACGGCGCCACCCTCAGCCCCACCGACCGCGCGCTGCTCGCCCTCATGCACCTCCTCACACGCCTTGCACGCCGCGACATGCCACGTGCGGCAGCCCACATCGAGGGGGGGGAACAGCAAGCTGCGCAGGCAGCAAGGGATGCTGATGGGGTGAGCGCGGTGGGTGCAGAGGAGTTCCTGGGTTTTGAGTGGTTTGACTATCTTTGGGGCCAGGGGGCCGCATCACGCTGGGAGTGGCAGCAGGGGAGGGGACGAGCACCAGCACAGGCAGGGGGTGAGGGCCAGGCAGAACGTGCTGCACAAGATGGCAGGGAGATGGGGGTAGCGAGGGGGAAGGAGGTGGGTGGGAATGGTGATGGTGTGTTTGAGGGGCGCGAGCAGCGGCAGTGGCGGTTCTGGTGGGAGGAGGCGGCGGTGGACGCCACGCGCTGTGGGCTGCTCGTGCTCGCCTTCCCTGCCCTCCGCCACGCACACCTGGGGGGGGATGCAGGCGAGCAGGGGCGAGATGGAGAGGGAGGGGGAGTGGAGGACGTGGAGCAGGAGAGCGAGGGGGTGAGTGAGTGGATGGGGCACGGGGGCACGCGCATGTGCATGTGCAGTGCGAGCTGCAGGGGAGGCCAGGGTGACCCTTGTGTGTGGCAGCAGGCTGGGAAGGGCCACCCCCTGCGCGGGTCAGCAGCAGCTCAGGACGTGGCGGTGCAGCAGGCCGCCTACGACCCCGCCTTCCTGCTCCCCTTCACCCTGCACGCCCTCTCCCGCCGCCTCCTCTCCCCCCGCATGGCTGCCCGCTCCGGCCTCGTGGCGGCTGCCATTGCCAGCCTGGCGTCGGCGCAGCACAGCATGCGGCGCCTGGGCTACGCCACCCTCGCACTCTTCGCCGCTCTGCTCGAGGTATGTGCGCTGCTGCAAGCCATTTTGGGCTCAAGTAGCGCTGCTCAGCTGATGATGCTGGCATGCATAAGAGAACAGCGGGAAGAGTGATATAACTGGTAAGATCTTACATTGTTCCCAGCACTGATGTCTTCCTCTGCATCTCCCCTGCACCTTTCATCCACGCGGTGTACATCTGTTCCGCCCCGTTGGTTGTGGAGTGGAGTGGAGCAGGAGCAGGAGGAGGGGTGGAGGGAGCAGCACGCCGTGCAGCACGTGGTGCGCTGTGTGCGGGCCACCGTCACCACCACGTGGCAGCGCCTGCCGCGCCTCTCTGTGCTCTTCATGGCGGAAATGCTCCAAGTCATGCACCTGGGGGGAGCCTCTCCTCTCTTTCCTCTCCTCTCCCAATCGCTTCTCTCCCAACCATCCTTCAACCCCACGGTAGGGCTCCGATGCTTCTTTCCATCTCCTCTCTCTTCCCACCTGCGGTCCCCTTTGCCTCATTGTTGGTCCTCATCATTGTTGGTCCTCATCATTGTTGGTCCTCATCATTGTTGGTCCTCATCATTGTTGGTCCTCATCATTGTTCCACTCCCCCTTCCCACCACTGCAGACCGTGCCATTGCTGCTGCCGTGCCTCATGAGCGGCTCGCCCCACCACCGCGCCCAGCGCACGTGGCTGCTGCACCTCCTGGCCGCCCTCGCCCTCCCACCCTTCCATGCCTCCTCTGCAGCCTCCGCCCCTTTGATACTTCCCCTTGCCCCACAACCGGCTGCTGGAGGGGAAGGGCAAGAGATGGGTGGTGGCAGGGGGGACGGTGACAAGGTCGGCAATGGGGATGGGGGCAGTGGCAACGCAGACGAAGGACACGAGGCTGGCAGTTTTGAGGGGGATGCTGTTCTGCGGCGCCGCTTTGTTGTGGAGCTTCTGGGAAGTTTCTTCGCGTGTGGGGTGAGCGATGTGTTCACCTGCAAGCTGATTCTGCAGGTGCTGCGGCGCGTGTGCTGCCTGCCGTCGTACGCGGGCCACCTGGTGCGGCAAGGCGGGCTGCTGCTGTGGCTCACAGCCGTTGTGCTCTCTGCCTCGCACAGCCTCCACCGTGCCCACGCCCACACCGCCCACCTCGCTCTCCTGCTGCCTACCACTCCACGCGCACTGCAGCTCGCTGGATCCCCTGCAGCCACAGCAGGAGCACCTGCTGCAGGGCGGGCAGAGGGGAGGCAGTCAGAAGTTGATGTTCTAGCGCTCGCGGTGGAGGTTAGTGGCTTTGCAATATGCCGCCAAGCACAGCAGCCCGCAGCGTTGCTGTCAAGTGGTGTTGTCTGTGGTTCGCAATGCTGTCATTTTGTTTATTCAATGGGTTTGATGTTCTTGTTCATGCCTTTTTTCGTTTCGGCTCCCCTCCCACACCCCTTCTGTGTGCTCCTCCCACCAGGTGCTGCATGGGCTGCTCTCATGCCCATGCATGCATGCAGCACTGCTCTCACATGCTACCTCAACTTCCCATCACCTCCTCCTCCTCACCTGTGCATTGGAACGTGCGTTACACACAGTGTCTCACAGCACCCAGCCCCTCTCGCCCTCTTCCCTTGGGCTCGCAAGGCTCACCCATGCTGCCCTGGTGCAGCTGATTGCGGTGTTGCCAGAATTCAGAAAGCACTTAGGGAAATAGCAACCGTTAGCAGTGATGCGTGCAAGTTGTGGAGTTGTCTAAAAAGGTTAAACTTTAGAGCAGGATAACAATCATACCCGTAATTTCCCAGATAAAAGACCCCCTTCAGTTGTAGACCCCCGGGTCTATAAATACGGAGGGGGGTACGCTAAATAGGTCGTTCGTAGTTAGACTCCCCTTTTGGGGGGCTAACATTATAAGACCCCCTGGCTGGCATACTCCGCCTTGAACGGCTTCGGCTTGGTGCGCTCTGCCTCGTCCGCCATGGCGATGGCATGTCTAGTACGCAAAGGATGATGGTCCGTCTTGTCAGAATCTAACGAGCAGGAATGAATGAACTAGCAACAAGATGGGTACAAGTAGGATACCCTAATTGGGTTGTACCCCATATGGGCTACCCCACTATAGCCTACGTAATTGGGCGGGGTGATGGAAAGAGGGAGAATGGGGCGGGGTGATGGAAAGCGGGAGAATGGGGCGGGGTGATGGAAAGAGGGAGAATGGGGCGGGGTGATGGAAAGCGGGAGAATGGGGCGGGGTGATGGAAAGAGGGAGAATGGGGCGGGGTGATGGAAAGAGGGAGAATGGGGCGGGGTGATGGAAAGAGGGAGAATGGGGCGGGGTGATGGAAAGAGGGAGAATGGGGCGGGGTGATGGAAAGAGGGAGAATGGGGCGGGGTGATGGAAAGAGGAAGAATGGGGCGGGGTGATGGAAAGAAGGAGAATGGGGCGGGGTGATGGAAAGCGGGAGAATGGGGCGGGGTGATGGAAAGAGGGAGAATGGGGCGGGGTGATGGAAAGAGGGAGAATGGGGCGGGGTGATGGAAAGCGGGAGAATGGGGCAGGGTGATGGAAAGAGGGAGAATGGGGCGGGGTGATGGAAAGAGGGAGAATGGGACGGGGTGATGGAAAGCGGGAGAATGGGGCGGGGTGATGGAAAGAGGGAGAATGGGGCGGGGTGATGGAAAGAGGGAGAATGGGGCGGGGTGATGGAAAGCGGGAGAATGGGGCGGGGTGATGGAAAGCGGGAGAATGGGGCGGGGTGATGGAAAGCGGGAGAATGGGGCGGGGTGATGGAAAGCGGGAGAATGGGGCGGGGTGATGGAAAGCGGGAGAATGGGGCGGGGTGATGGAAAGAGGGATTTTTACGATATGAAGTTTTATGAGAAGGCATTCCTGTATGCTGCAGGAGCCGACTCTACCGAGTACGAAGTCGAGGAGTCAGAAGAGTCGAAGCGACGCAGCAACCGTCTGACCAAGACCAGTGCAGGCAGAAACATTTGAAGTGAAAAAGGCGGGAACAGGTTTGAAACGGGTTCCCGTGCCGCACGGTTTGAAATCGGTTGTAATAAGGGAATGTACCCCTTAGAGTACATGGCTAGTCTAGGTCTTTTCGTATTCCCCTGTATTCTTATATAAACTCGATGTATGCATGCTATTATCAACTCAGTCATTTACATTCACTCTGACCTGGGATTCAAACTTCCGCTGCAACACTACTCTGCGATCAACCCTGAGCGATCCTTCGCTAAGTCCCTTTTGGGATTGTAACATGGTATCAGAGGTACTCAGGGATTCTTCGCAACTTCACTTCCGTGAAATTCGCCAAACCAAGATCTGGCGAGCGGCACACGCTCCAAGACCAAGATGGCCGGAGGATCCGGAGGCCAAGCAAATCTGACGGCTGAAGGACAATCCAACCCGGCTGCGACAAATGAGGCGACAACCACGATCGGCACTGCCGCCCTCGAGCAACTTTTCGCTCGACTTTCAACCATGGAGAAAGAACTCCAAGACCTGCGCAAAGGCGATGCGGGAACCTCTTCCCAACCAGTTCAACCTGGACAACCGGCTGAGAAAAGCCGTGATACCGCCGCGCATACCTTCTCCCTCGACACAGACAAATCAACAACAACTGCCCCCCGTCCAAGTGATGAAGCCATCAACTCTGCGCAAACACGCTTCCTCAGCGTTTCAAAAATCAAAACTACTGCCGCGTTTGACGGCAAGGACTTCTACACATGGAGTTTCGAGCTTGAGCTCCTCCTACAAACGGCACAAATCTACCATTACTTCGACGGCTCCTATCCTAAACCGGTGGAAAACACCGAAGTCGCCAGGGCTCAATACTACAGTGAGTCCCTCATGGCCTACAGTGTGCTGCTACGCAACATGACGCCTGCGGAACAACTCAACACCCGCTCCTACAAAGAGAGCGACGCTCCAGCCTTGGAAGCCTGGAAGCATCTCGTTGAAGTTTATCAGCCGAAGGATTCGGTCACCGCCAGCAGGCTTCTGCAGCAACTCCTGGAGATAAAAATGGGGCACGGGGAGAAAGCGAATCCATATATTAACCGCTGTCGCAACATCCGTGACCAGATCACGAAGCATGGGAGTACGATCTCAGAAGAGATCTTCGTCAACATAGTCCTCCAAGGACTCGGGCCTGAGTGGAAGCCCTGCAAGGCGTTACTCCGACAGCGAGGGATAATTTCAGAAGCCGCGCTATGCGCCGCACTCCTGTCCGAACAGCAGGACATGGACTCGAGCAGAACAAGCTCTGCGCCGCGCCGAGAGCGCCTCGCCTTCTACGCTGACAACCGTGAAGAGCGACGACAACCAAGGCGCCACTATTGCAAAATATGCAAAGTCTTAGGACATTCAATGGATCGAGGCAAGTCCCGATCCAACAATCGCCACCCAAATTCCACTCACCAAAACAACTGGGTCGGCCGACAAGACGCTCGTCATTCTCAACCTCAGCATCAACAAACTCGGTTCCCTGCACAGCATCAACACCAGCAACCTCAAGGACCTCAGTCAGGAGCTCCCAGGAACGTCATCGCGAACATGGCGTCTCGCCGCCGCCGCACCGCCGAACCTGACGAGGAGAACGAAGTCCAAGGAAGACTTCTGGAACCGGAAGAGGGATGGAACAATCCCCTCACTGAAGATTACTATTACATGTATGACGAAGACGAGCAGGATTGGAACCTGCCAATCACTTTGCGGGAAAGCCCGCCGCACGACAATCAACACTACGTACCAGTGGGATGGAAGGAGGACGAAGACCCTCTTTTCTACAGTCGCTACAAGGCAACCCTGGTAACTCCGAGATTGGCGCTACTTCTGCGCCGGAGCAATACCGACAACTACAACACCTGGTACCTGGACAGCTGCTGCGGACAACACATGGTGGGATCTACGCGCTACGTCTCAAATCTGAGCCGCGCCCCCCCAACTTACGTTACCGTCGCCAACAACGAGCAGCTGCGCGCCAACTCACAAGGCATCGTCGTTCTGCAAGCACGAGACAGCAACACTCACATCTCATTCAATGACGTGCTCCACGTTCCGAATCTGCGCTTCAATCTTCTCTCAGCTGGACAACTTCGCGACTGCGGCGTCATTCTCACCACGGACCTCGCCACACGCGATCTCATCCTCACATACGCTCCGCCAGATACCCCTCCCGAATCATTCAAGTATCTCGGACGAGCCCGCTCGATCAGCGGGATCTATGTCCTGGACTTCGACGTGCCACCTTGCCAAGCTTCATCCGACGAGCTCGTGGACCTGGTTCCCCTCGAGTTTGCCTTCACAAGCAAATGGGAGCACCCAGATGGACGACCATGGGTTCGCCGCAGTCCTCATCCCCGCGAGATCAATCTGCACGACCCCGACATCAACGGTCTCTGCACCACCTGCCACACACCCACCGCGAGTCGCACGGAACAAGTTGAAAGGGAGCAAGCGGCAATTCAGGAGGCCGAAAGCGCTGAGGTAGAACCAACAGGCATGACTGAAGAAGAACTCGCCGTGTCATCACACCGCATCTTCGGTGAGCCGAGCAAGAAATTCGGACAGGAACGGGAGGAGAGACCAAGGCCCTATTCGGACACCCTACGCTTCGTTCTAGAAGCCAACACCACTACCTTCGACGATGATGGTCGACCACGTCCCTACACCCGCGAAGTTTACCGACACGAAATTGACCCGGCTTGGAAAGATCCTGACGCAGAAGAAGAACTGAGCGTCAAGGAAGAAGAAGACAAGGCACGGGCGGAAAAGAAACAGAAATTGTTTGAGGAACGTGTCGCGGCTGGATGGGACAAGGAGACCGCACGACGTGGCGCATGGGGAGATGAAGATTACGAACCAGAAGAAGGCGATGGAGCAACCTGGGGATCCGCCACTGGAGCATGGGGAGCCAGCGCCAGCGGCGCAGTCACAACAGGAGGATGGGGCAACACCGGCGGATGGGGAGAAGACGAATACGCGGATGCTCCGCTCACCAAAGAAGAAGAAGAAGAGATTGAACGAGAAATGAAAGCTGAGCGTGGAGAACCATCCCCTCGCGTCACCATTCCACTCGGACGACCCCCTCGCACCCACTCACCTCCCTCTTCACCCCATCGGTGGCGCGATCGTTGGTCGGAGATTGAGGAGGGGAACGTACCACCAACTCCTCTGCGGGACTCACTTGGTCCAATCTCACGCCCAGATCCGTTTGCTCGCTTCATCGAAGGCACCACGACCCCGCTAACTATCATCCCTGACCGTGAATTCCTCGCGCTCTATCTCACAACGGCACCTGCAGAAGGGGAGGCAACGGCAGAAGCAGAAGCAGAGGAGCCGGCCAGCAAAGCAGAACCAGGAGAAGAGGAAGAACCCCCACTCCAGATCTCGCAACTCACGGCGGAAGAAGAAGCAGAGCATCACACCCGTTACAAGCGCACTTCCGGCATCCGCGCCGAAGACGACCTCTGGCACCAGCGAATGGGACACCCCTCGCGCCAGAATCTCGCCAACTGCCTCCGCGCCAAGGTTTTCCCGCCAGGAGCACTGCTACGCCCCGACGGAACGGAATTACAGCACAACACCCCTCACCCGGTCACCTGCACTGTCTGCCCCACTGCTGCGCTCACCCACAGCGCCTATCCCTCCCTGGAGCCGAGTACCAACCGCTACAAAAAGCTGGAGAAAGTATACAGCGACTT